CCTGCAGTACATTTCTAAGTGTTATTTAAAAAATTATGATTAAAAAAAAAATTAAATTATGAAGAACCTTAATGACATAGAAAAACTATTTTAAGAAAAACTGTTCTATAATAAATCATGTCTCATATGTATAGCATTGTCTACACGGGATTTCCTTAAAAAGATATTATGTAACTTTTTCTCAACACTTGCAATTCATGTAATGATCACTGTGCTAAATCTTATTTTCAATTAAAGCCTAACTTGTTAAAAAAAGTCAATTCATGGAAGTCAGAACAATGTAAGAAGCAGATGGGCATTCACACGTCATTAATTGTTGCTAAAAACTGACATATATGCATTCGACAGCTTTTGTGTTCTCACGGTTGACCATTATTAGATAAATACATTGGTACTATATAATGCATTCAAATTATCAAAAAGTAAAACATTTATTTGGTTTTATTTTATTTTATTCGTAAAACATCTTGATGTTCGAGACACGTACTGGGTAAATTTTGCTTGCTAATAAAAATGATCATGATCAAGGGAAATAATAAGAGTGCATAAGCTAGGGTATGCTTTTTGCGAGATTGAAAAATTCTATCAAAGTTTGAATGGACTGAGATAATACCCAACTTAAAGCAGTTATCAAGAATGCAAATAAACAAGTCTGTCTTTATCCAAAAAATCAACTGGATGATACATTTAACTGCTTCAAGGTCATTTGGACAAGGTTAAAGCCTATAGCTTTCTTTATGATGCTTCTGTACATTATATCTCTCTTAGTTATTTGAAGGTCTTATTATTTACTTGTCTTATTCTACTTGAAAATGGTATATTCACATAATATGTAATATAGCATTTTGTGACAATGCTTTGGTATTTTGTGACATTGCTATAATGGTTTGGACTTTTTCTGAGTGGTGACAGACATCACACCATCTGTCATTAGCAACAACAAAACTGTTTATACATGCCTATATAAAATTTACCAGGGTAATTAAGTTATTGAACAAAAGGTTGCTTGATAATTTAGCATGGACCCAAAACAGCATATAAGACCCAAAACTACAGTTTGTACAAATTGGGCCAAGAAGCATATAGTTTGTTATGATGACCAGATTGTATTTTTTTTTTGTAGGAATAAAGTTATTTTGACATTATGTCTCATGGATTTGGCAATGATTTGTCATTTTTAAATATGGTTTTGAACTTAAAGCTGTGATAAGTAATTGTTTTCATATGCTTTAATCAGTGTCTGTCTTTTAGGTTGTATTTTGTCCTATTTATAGCACAGAATGATCTATATTATATTTTTGATCTAGATTTAAATTTTTGTTGGCTCAGTATCAAATGGTCTACATATCAAATGGTCTACATTCCTGCCATAGTGAACAAATAAAAAAAAGGAATGAGGAGAAACATTAATTAAGTTTTACACTGATGAATTAAGGGCTTTGCTCTGAGGTTGAATGGTAGTTAGCTGGTCTGTCTGTTTGTCTGTCTGTCTCTGTGTTAATGCAGCAATCTTTTTTCTGAGTTGTTGGATATTAAAATACATTTTATTTCCCTTTGACTCATCTGGCTTTGAGTCTTGACTTAAAGAGTGCCTGTAGACAAAGGAAGTGCATGAATTTAAAGTTAAACCAATATTCTAGATCAACAGTCTTGAAACAAAATTAAAAAAAATATATCTGTGTAAATAATCTCCCCTTGACTCATCTGGCTAATACAGTAATACTTCACCAAAAAGTACTATTCGGTAAAGTATATGTACTAATTTTGAGCTAAGTTTCAGAGGTCAAGGTCATAGCAGTCTCAGATTTATGTATAAATTCCTTGTATGCATCAACTGAACCTATCTGAATAGGAAAAAAATTCTGGGTAAAATCGTTGTCCAGAACATATTTCAATCCCCATGGACCTATTCCATCTATAGATTGCTGCATTTGGATAAAGGGTAAACAATGACCTTGAACCAAGTTTATGGGACAGAGGTAAAAGTTCACAGTAAAGATCTTTGAATATCATTGTGAACATTTTTTCTTCCTGTGCTCTTCTGGGCATCATGTGTTTTATACATCACCTGACTTTTGCTTCATATGAAACACTGGTAGGTATTATTATCCCCCGCTTTCACGAAAGCGAGGGGACATTAAATCTCATTCGTCTGGCTGTCAGTCTGTCTGTCCGTCCATTACAAAAACTTTAACCTTGCCCATAACTTTTGATTTAGTGGAGCTATGACTTTCATATTTCACATGTGTATTCCTTGTGACAAGACCTTTCTTTGGGTACCACCAAATTTGACCTTGACCGTGGAGTTTGACCCACTTTTACACAAAAATTTTAAAATTTTTATTTTGACCGTAACTTTTGAACGGTAGATACTAGGGCTTTTATATTTCACATATATATTCTTTGTGGCAAGACCTTTCATGGGATATCAACAACTTTGACCTTTTGACCTTGACCTGAGATTTCTGTACTTATGAAAAAACTTTAACCTTGGCCATAACTCTACAATGGTAAGGGCTGGGGCTTTCATACTTTACATATGTAATCCTTGTGAGAAGTCCTTTCATGGGATAACAAGAACTTTGACCTTCTGACCTTGAAGTTTGGCCCATTTTTAAAAAACTTTAACCTTGGCCATAACTTTTGAAGGGTTAGGGCAAGGGCTTTCATACTTCAAATATTAAATCCTTGTGAAAGTCCTTTCAATGGATATCAAGCACTTACACCCTTTGACCTTGAAATTGGAGTTTGACCTACTTTTTAAAATTTGGGTACCAATATATTTAATTTGCATTTAAGAAAAGTTTAATCTTCACTTTGTTGCCATACAGGGTCATCAGTGTTTCACAAACACATCTTGTTCCTTTTAACTTTTGATTGAGAAGAGATAGGGCTTTCATATGCCTTGACTTTCACGATTGACCTTATTTTAAAAAAAAAAAAATCAACTTTGGTGATAATTTCTAAATGACATGTAATATGGCATTCATATTTGACATCTCACGCACAAAGACACCGAAAGCGGGGGGCCACAATTCTTTGAATTTGCTTGTAGTATTTGATTCAGATAGGTTCAGTTGGCTAGTAAGTATGCATTCATTGTAATCATCTTTTCTTCCCTTGCTCTTCTGGGCCTCATGTGTTTGATACATCACCCAAAGAGTGACCATTGGTAAAGGTAAAAGTCAAAGGTCAAGCAGATTTCTGTGTAAAGTCCTTGTTGTGAGCAAATTGCCTATTCCCCTTTTTTAGCTCACCTGAGCCGAAGGCTCAAGTGAGCTTTTCTGATCACATTTTGTCCGTCGTCTGTCCGTCCGTCTGTAAACTTTTCACATTTTTGACTTCTTCTCAAGAACCACTAGGCCAATTTTAACCAAACTTGGTACAAAGCATCCTTGGGTGATGGGGAGTTTAAATTGTTAAAATAAAGGGCCATGTCCCCTTCAAAGGGGAGATAATCAAGAAAATACAAAAATAGGGTTGGGTCATTAAAAAATCTTTTTCTCAAGAACCATTGAGTCAGAAAAGCTGAAGCTTATGTGGAAGCATCCTGGGGTAGTGTAGATTCTAAATTGTTCAAATCATGACCCCCGGGGGGTAGGGCAGGGCCACAATAGGGAATCCAAGTTTTACGTAGAAATATATAGGAAAAATCTTCTCAAGAACCTTTGGGTCAGAAAAGCTGAAACTTATGTGGAAGCATCCTAGGGTAGTGTAGATTCTAAATTGTTAAAATCATGACCCCTGGGATTAGGGCGGGGCCACATTGGCACAATAAGGAATCCAAGTTTTACATAGAAATATATAGGGAAAATCTTTAAAAATCTTCTTCTCAAGAACCATTGGTCCAGAAAAGCTTAAACTAATATGGAAGCATCCTGGGATAGTGTAAAATCTAAATTGTTCAAAACATGACCCCCCCGGGGATAGGGCGAGGGCCATTATGGGGAATCAAAGTTTTACATAGAAATATATAGGAAAAATCTTTTGAACTCTTTTTCTCAAGAACCATTGAGTCAGAAAAGCTGAAGCTTATGTGGAAGCATCCTGAGGTAGTGTAGAATCTAAATTGTTAAAATTATGAACCCTGGGGGTAGCGCAGGGCCACAATAGGGAATCCAAGTTTTATATAGAAATATATAGGAAAAAATCTTCTTCTTAAGAAGCAGTGGGCCAGAAAAGCTGAAATTTAGGTGGAAGCATCTTAGGGTAGTGTAGATTCTAAATTATTAAAATCAAGATGGGGGTGGTGGTGGTGGTGGGGGAGATAGGGGGCCACACTAGATATAAGAAGAGGGGAAATCTGGTAAAGAACTGCATCACCAAAGTTACTCAGGTGAGCGATGTGGCCCATGGGCCTCTTGTTTATTTGAATATTTTTCTGTCACATAATTCTGGTGGTGTTCATCAGCTCAATAAATTTCTGTATTTAAATTAATTAAATCAATATTTAAAATGAATTTTTCCTGTTACTTAATAAAAGAGAAAAAAAAGAGATGAATAACAATTTTTGAAACTAACAAGAGAAAGAAAAAATAAAGAAAAGAGTGAATTGTTTTGGATAAATGGTATCCTTCAGAACTTTTTTTGTAATACTTAAAACTTGGATGTCTCTTCTTACTAATTTTGACCATTGGCAAATAGGAATGAGAAATATTTGCTCTATGCAGTGATGAAAAAAATATTAAATTTTGTCTCAATAAAGGAGAAAAGTTTTAAAATATCAAGAAATTTAAAAAATGCTTGAATAACTTATTTTATTTATACGATCTTGTTTTTGCCTTATTAGGAGACTGATTTATATGTCTATCATTTTTTGACAAACATCTGTGATTGATAATCCTAAAAGAGATGACAAAATCACTCATATTTCATGTTCTAAATTCTGTTCATGGGTGTAAGAGGAGTAAATATTTACAAGAGGGCTGTAAAAAATGGTCTCAAATGGGCAATCAACCAGAAAATGCAATAACTGTGGAGGATAAAATCCTTATATTGACTGTGAATTAATACTTTAACAGTAAACAAGATCCTATATATTAACCCTGAGCACATTTAAAGGGATGTATTGGCAATATTGTTTTACCTGGGCTTGCTATGGAAGCACTGGTCACCAAAACATGAGTGACCTGAACTGTCTATATTGAAGAATGAGGTGAAAATCAGATTGATTGACTATTGATCATGACACAAGGATCCCGTATTTCACTGTCGATTTTTGGGGGAATTAGCTTATCTCTGAGCATGCTTGTGCAGGAAAAAATCTAGAATTTAATAACAGTCCATGTAGACCTATCTCCAGGATCAGGAAGCGGCGTGGTGACAACACAGGTTCATCAGTGATGCTACTTATGTGAAGAGGATGTGTATTTATATATAGTCTATATATGTGTAAATTACTGCACAGTCTGCATACTACAACCATGGAACAGAATGATGTTCTTCTGCAAGGAAAATTTTCCATTTTAGGCAAACCTGGAAAAATTTTCATGGTGGAATTGACAAGTGAAAAACTGAGGTTTCAAGATTTGAATGGCAAAAGTAACGAATATGAGGGTGTGATTGATATAAAGGATGTGATTGGATGCCGTATTAACAGTGGTGTAAACAAACAGGGCAGCGGTAATGTGTGTAACTGTGTTAATTCCCACGTTGTGCGGGACATGGCAGAATGTTTGCTTTCTATTCATTACTGTCCTAAGACGAAGAAGAGGCTATTTTGTAAATCCTACTCTCGAGAACATTGCACCTTAAATTTAGCCTTATCACATCACCCGGATTACGATTCTAACAAAATTGTCTGTGAGAAATGGAAGAAGACCATTCTTAGTCTTTCTAAAAACAACAATAATAATCATATCACAATAGAAACAGGTATTCTTCTGAGTGGTCACATAAAGTCATGCAATGAACAGGTCCAGCACAATAATTAACCTGATAAAGGTATATACTTGATAAACCTTATAATGCATGTTAAGTTCTCAAACAAAAAGGAATCAGTATAAAAACATGTCATGTGAGGAGACATTCTTTTAATTATGCTGTCTTTTTGATACCAGAGTGCTTTTCATGCACGAGTGGAAATCACTGACAAAAACTCAGAACTAGACTTTCAGTATTTAATTTTTTAAGATTTTTTTTTGAATTTTCATTACATAAAATACCTAATTGATCAAGGTATTTGTAATACCTAGATAAAGCTATATAGCTTTATCAAGCTATATACCTTCATCAGGGTATTGTGCTGGACCTGAAGAAATGAACTAAATAATAAAAAATTTGAATGAATTATAAATTAGTATGCATTATATACAGCCAGAAGTTTAGCCCCCATGCATATATATGCCCAGGGGAAGGGAGGGGAGGGATATTGGACGGCCCCAAAAGGATAAAGAATGTTTTCCTTTTTTTTCTACAGAAGGAAAAAGAATCTTTACCATTTTTAAATGATTTATAGCTTAAATCATGCTTTGCTGTAAAACAAACTTCTTACACAATTGTTTATTGTCTCTGTCTTTACTACTTAATGTATTCTCATCTTTGAAGACATTCATCTTAATTTTACTCATCTTTTTACCTGGGATTTAGTGAAATGATAAATGATGTTTATTAATTGCAATGGGAGTCATTTATCAACTCAGAGTAATTGCAATAATCTATTCCATTGGACACAGTCCATTGGTAATATGATGAATATGGAATGGCTCATCAACCCTTAATCCATTATCTTGATTAAGAAAAAATACTATGACATTTACATTAATTATACATTGACCTTGATCACTATTAAATATTGATATATTATGCATTTAACACAAGGACCTATAGGTTTTTGTGATTGTTTGTTATCGTGATATATACTTGAATATAACTTATATTGCTACATATGCAACATCGTTAATAATGCATTTCTCTGGTTGGAATTGTACTTCAAGAATATATTAATTGCCAAATGTCTCCCCTCATCCCCCAACAAACACAAGCACACACACCAACCACTTGAAAAGAGAAAAAATAAACATGATGAAAATATTCTTAACCAACATAAGAATAATGGCATTTGTACATATTTTCAGACTTGGTGAACTGTGAAGCACCTCTACAAAGGAAGATACTGGTGTTAATCAACCCTTTCAGTGGTCCAGGGAAAGCCCGCCAGATCTTCGAAAATGGCGTGTCCAGTATGCTGGAGGAGGCAGACATTTCCTTTAAAATGGTCATCACAGGTAAGTTCCGGAATGCACTGAGTGTGTCAGTGGTTGTCTAGGACATTACAGGGATATAGTGGAGGCCAGTATAACACAGATCTAAATGAAATTGTTGACATATAAGTAGGAAAGATATACCAGTTATATTATGGATTGATGCATTTCTAAATGTTTGCTAATCTTTGTAAGGACCATCTTCATCTAAGCCTAGGGGATCTGATATGCTACTTGATCTTTTAATTGCTGGGCAGATCTGTGCGAAGTTTACATTTTACAATGATGTTTTGCTGATTCATCACAAAAACAAAATTCTATGAGATTATTGTGTCAACGATCTACTTGGAATTCACTTCCTGCTAAACTATTCTGGAATTTCACAGTGTAGAGTAAAATTGTTCATTCAGATTATTGTGAATTGTTACAACAAATTGATCTTTGTCACAGATGATAAGGAGATATATATAAGTACAGGGTTCAACAAGCTTAATTTAGGTGAATGTATATAGATATTTTAGAATAAAGTTCTAAGAAGTTATTATTCACCCACAAAAGAAGTTTGGGGGATATAAGAATCACCTTGTCCCTCCATCCCTCAAACAATCTTGTATGTGAGCTGAAGATATGTTAAAAACCTTGACCCTAGGTCATTGTGGCAAGTTCAAGATCACTAGAGAAATTAGATGTGTAAAATTCATGTCAAGTCTAAAGTTTTCTGATGGAAAATTTTTGGAGGTTACATGGTTACTTATGATTGTATGATGGATCACTTTTTAAGCAAAGTCAAGGTCACATTTGAAACTTTATATGGACACATTTAAAAAATGCAGCAGGGTGTAATTTAAATTATGAGTTCATGCAGTCACAGTGCCTTTTATGTTTTTTTCTTAATTTATTGAGTAAATTGAGGCATGGATTTTTATACATGAATTTTTATCCATGTGGTTAACTATGAATTTTTACTTTCATGTTTTTTTTTCACTTTGATAGAGTATGCTGGTCATGCTACAGAGATGATGAGGAGTCTAGATTTGTCTGCATGGTACGGCGTTGTCATAGTCTCAGGAGATGGACTTATATATGAAGTACGCAAAAGTTACATTACTTATTTTACTGTTCATGAAACTCAACCTGCATTTGAATACATTTATTTATTTGCAATACTGTACAGCAGGAAATTAACTCGCGGAGTTAATTTTCGCTATATTCGCGGAAAATGAAATTCCGCGAATTCAACATACAGTGAATAATTCTTAAAAAGTTTTATAGGGATTAATTGAAATTTTATTATTTTCTGTGATTAGATGTAGACTGTCTTTATAATTATGCAAGTGTCTGGATCAATTATAAACACGTAGTTGTTGCTGTTTTTAAAGCTTATTAATGAGTTAATTCATTTCTATAGCTAACGATTAATTTTGCCATCTAGTAGACGTGCGATGTAATTATTTAATAAAACATGCTTGTTTAATTTCACCCGTGCGTGTCACTCAGTCATTACCTTTAATCAAGGCATTTACTTAGTAAACAGGGTAACGACAATTAGTTAATTTCAATTATATGATTAAAAGTTCAACATTTTTACTACGGTATAATTTTTTTTCTGATTTGGACCTGGAAATAAAAAAAATTAAATGCATAGCATTATTTTCACTTCAAATCGGGATCAGTCCGGTTTTTCGTTATTATGCAATCGGGATCAAAATCGCCACAATATATAGACTTTACTTTTCTGTCTGATATGCGCGATATACATTACAGACTTTAATATTATACTACAGAGACGAGAAATAGCAGTTCACACAATATATACCTACAGAAAAATGCTTGCAAGTACTGTTTAAGAAATTTATGGTTTTTCCTTTTCCGCGAATTCAAACTATCGCGATTTGCTGAAAATTGAACAAATCGCGATCTTTTCCGACCGCGATTTTAACCTGCTGTACAGTATAAAAAAATTATCAAGTTATTTTTTCCTGAAGTTTTCACTATTTGACCTTGACCTTTAACCTTGCAGGTAATCAATGGTCTAATGAGCAGAGGTGACTGGGAGGTGGCGATTAATTTCCCTGTTGGTTGTTTACCCGGTGGATCAGGGAATGCCCTGTCTCTAAATATAAACTATCTAGCAGGGTAAGGAGGAAACAGAAAATAAAGCTCTGACCTATATCTGTAGGATCATAGCATACTTAGTGCATGTACTCATTTTCACCTTTTCATTAAATATAAATATAACGAAGGCCATGAACTGTACATTTAACATGTTTAATGTGTAAATATTTGTTCTAATGACAGATAAGTGACATACAGGCTGTGGTGTATTGCTATATATTAGATGATATACTAAGAGTTTAGTACAAAGAAATCATATCATGGTCTGACAGTAAAGGTTCTGTAAAATTTATTGACCTAATTTTTTTTATGCAGACTGATCAGCTTTTGCTTAGATTGTCATATTTTGATAGAAAAAAATACAGAAAAATTAAAAGTTTATCGCCAGTATCTATTAGGATAGTTTTTTTTCTGAATATTGCCTATGTCAATCTTGATAAGAAAATATTTAGTATATTAGCATTTATTCTTCTTCTCAGATAAATAATCATTAAAAAAATGTTGGAGTGTTCTTCAGGTTTTTTAGTATGATACCATAACATGATTGAGATCATTATGAGTGGCATGTTGTAAATCATCATAAAATCTAATGGGGACCCTCAATAACACGTTCATATCCCATTCAGAACTACTTTTTTTAAGTAGCTCCTCTACATCGATTTCATATTTTGTAGAATTTTATAAATTTGATTTATTTACTGAACTCTGAAGCATCTTATAAAATTATACAATGTACTAAATCAAGACGGGAAATCGGCATCATAATTATACATGTATCATAAGTGTAACAATAGTAAAAAAAAATTTTTTCAGTGAGCCGGTAGATTTGAATCCCATTCTTCACTCCACCTTTGTGTTGATTAAGCACCGTGTGATCCCTATGGACCTGGTGTTGGTACAGACCCCGGGGAAACAGATGTACTCCTTCCTGTCTGTCACCTGGGGCTTAGTGGCGGACATCGACTACGAGAGCGAGCGACTGAGAGTCCTAGGAGCTTCCCGATTCACCCTCTACTTCATAAAGCGAGTTGTCAGTAAGTATACTCAGCTCTAACACTGAAAAAAAACAAGGACATGGACACTGAATATTTTCTCCTTTATTTCTTAAGAAAAACCATTGCGTTAATCACTGCATGAACTACATTAGGTATATCGCCTGTACAGATTTCTTGATCAGTGGCTGTTCCATCAATGAAATGTATAAAGACGTTCGCATCATAAATACAATAATTAAACTTTTTAATTCTTCTTTAAATGATTATTTAAACAGATATAAATATAAACAATGAAATGTCTTTCTTTGTTTGTTATTACTGGAATTAACGGTCGCAGCTATTGCAGAAAAAATTTACATAACCCGCTATGTATTTTTTCTGCAACAGCTGCTTCCGTTAATTCCAGTAATAACAAACAAAGAAAGCGTTTTATTGTTTAAATGAAAAATTATAACAGATTACGCACAATCATTCCAAGTTAAAATGAAAAGTTTTACGTGCACATTACAAAGATGCTGCTTTGTTGCACATATTTAAAAGTGATATTCAATTACCGGTAAGGTAAAATTTGGGAACAGAGAAAATTTGTCAATTATGACACATGACGTTGCTTATAATCAATCAGAGATGTTATGGAGATACAGTAAATGTGACGTGTGTACCTATATTACATAGAGCTTTCTTTTATTTTAGGCCTTCGGAAATACAGAGCTAAGGTTTCATTTCTTCCCGTTACCCCTTATGACCCAGGTGCCAAAAATCAGAAAGAAAGGACGGTAAAATGTTCCCGACCGCGACGATTTACGATGATAAGAAACTCTACAACACAACGCAACATCAGTTCCTCCGTATACGAGAACGGTGTACAGGGAGTGTACAGAGAAAAGTCCTCTTCTCACTCCTTACCTCGACTCAGGTCCAAATCCATGCCGACCGTGAAAACCGTCAGTGAAACAAATGGAGACATATCAGGATACGAGGAACACGACAATGTGATGTTTGAACCGGACGATTCAGATGAATGTTTTACTTCAAGTCTGCCCAATGGTGATCATGTAAAAGATGATAATGTTAGTACTGGAAGTGAAAATATATTTGAAGAAATGGTACAGACATTGAACAATGATGGAAAACCCCTTCAGGCGCCCCTTTTGGCACCTCTTGGGGAGGAGGTTCCATCAAACTGGGTCACAATAGAAGATGAATTTATCACGGCTTGTGCCCTATACCAGCCCTATCTAGGCCCTGACAACTTGGCATCACCTGAATCGAGACTGAATGATGGACAGATTCATCTTTTGATTATCAGAGCTGGGATCCCCAAATCGGCACTTGTGAACTTATTCTTGTCTTTCGAAACAGGGGACCACATAAGTTCACCGTACGTGGAGATGGTCAAAGTATTGGCTTTCCGATTGGAGCCAATGGGAACTGAGGGCAATATAATGGTAGATGGGGAACATGTGGACTATGGACCAATTCAAGGACAGGTGCTTCCTGGGATAGCAAGAATTATGGGAGTCCAATGACCACTTCCTGTGATAGCTAGGGGCCATTTTAATACATGTATTAATTTTTGCTGCACTTTTTCAATTCTTAGATAGGGTTTATTTAAATTCATGACAATTTAAAGGATTTTCTTTAAATAGCTCATCTGGATCCTTATTTTCAAGGTCATATACAGTAAATTATGAGAAATAACTTGCCTGAATCTTTGCAAGTTCAAAAACCTCATTAAAATGCCTGATCTCTTACAATTCAATGAAATGAGGTATGTGTATAAGCTGATTACAGTTTCCTTCAAGGGAAATGAATACAGAATAATTAAGGGTACAAGTGTACTGAATTTCATTTTTGTGATCATCGTTATTGTGTTTACGTCATGTATTTATTTCATTGTTAATTTATTGATTTATAATTAAACAGATTTATGTGTGTTTATTTTGAAAGGATTAATTATGGATGAAAGAAACATTAATGTTATTTATTGACAATTATTTGTATATTGTGTTATACTTTTAATAGACTTAATATAAAGATTTTTAGCCCTGTGTTGAAATGAATGATAATTAACAAAAAATTGCACAAATTTTATTAATATACCAGTTGGCGAGAAAACCACCAAAATTGTTTCTTAATTTTACAGATTAAAAGTGTACCCCGTAATTCTCTGAAAAATTTTTGGTTGACAGAATGTCCACTGATCTGCAGCTAGAAAAAATCAAAAAATTTCTACTAGTCGATCACCAATCAACATTAAAAAAAAACATGAAAACATGTTGGATATATATGTACTTACAATTGAAATGTACATGTATTTTTTAAATATAAATAAAGCATTGATGAACAAGTGTAAAATTAGTCATTACACTTATTGTTTGTAGAATTAGTAAAATTCCATTTATTAGAAGGATTTGTATATTGCAATCAATGCAGGTAAAATTAACACTTTCATAATATTAAAGGTTCAATTATAGTTGCATTTTAATAATATTCAAGGGGCCATGATTATATAGGAATATGGGACCACCACTGTAGATTTATGAACATTTTCAAGTCAAGTGTTTAGAAAAAAACTGAAATGGGATCATGCCATTAAAATAGTCTGCTCGATTTTGATATTTTTACAAACTCATATGTGTATTTTTGAATTTTTTTTGTACAGTACATACTACTGTATAAGTAGTATTTTTAGCAAGGATTTAATTTTGGCATTATTAGCATTCAATCACTAAAATTGAATATGGCTAAAAATTAATTGCGTATTATTTGTAATAGCTTCTTTAGTTAGCATTTTAAAATCGCTAAAATTACTTCTTGCTAAAAATAAAATACATATGTACCAGATTTTAGGTAGAAATTGCTAAATTTGCGTCTCGCTAAAATTTCCACTTATACTTGTGGAGGTACTAGCAGTTAAGCCTAAAGGAAAAACAAAAACAAAACAAGCTCCTTTTTTTTTTAAACTTAACTGATGGACCTTAATTTTTTTTACACCAACATGAGAAAAATTCTTTGTTAAATGGGGAAATGCATGTCTGAAGTTTTTCTTATAAATTCTATGATTTAAAGGTTGTAAAGTAACTATTTTAATAGCAGTTTTTAGAGCTATTTGGTAGATTGTTAATTTTTTTTCCAAAAATATTGCTATAGAAGAAGAGAACTTTTAACAGCTAGACTTTAAAGTAGCATTTTAGATTTGTTCTTTTATGTAATATAAAAAGTTAGAAATAAGATCAAAACTTTACCTATCCATCTTTTTTTTGTAATCATGTAAATATTTTTGAGGCCTATAAAATGTGCAAGACTTGCTTGTGTTTTTCTGCTGTCTATATTTTTCATTTTATAGCATTGAATTTTTTTTTTATAGTCAATTACCTAATCAGTAGATTTAGGTTTGCAGGAGAAATACATGTTTATAAAAACAAACATTTCCATGACAATTTTCTGTGATAGATTTAGATAGATTTATATACATTATTAACTTCAATATGTTGACATGACATAAAGATTGTTCCACATAAGCCAGCAGTACTAATATGTTAACTATTATAACAAGGTGCAGAATGATGTGGGAGGAATTGTTATCTTGGTGCTTGAAGAAGCTCATTATAAGTGTGTAACATTGCTATCTTTGGAAGTTAGTTCATTGTCATTGCTTCCTTGTTTAGAAGTGCTATTTGTATCATTGTCAATAGGTTAATATAGTCTTAACAAATTCTGGGCATTATAGAAGTACATGTACTTATTTATGTATACAAAGTGTAGTACTCTGAAAAGGATAAAAACATCATTTTGTGAATATATAGGCAGTTGACAATGTCATATTTCAGACCACATTCTGGTCATGAATTTATGATACGTACCATATAGTAATGGTTAAAACGAAGCAACATTATTTTCAAACAATTATTATAATATTACATGTAGATTGAATTTAGAAGTCTAAGAAGCATATAAAAATTGAAGTATTTATGAAAACATGCACTTTCTCAAGAAAAGAGTTATGATAAAAAGATGTATCAAAAGTGATTTGAAGCAATTTGTACTGTAAGGGTTATTTTCGCACAATTAATGCTTCAAATTTTGAAGCTTTGTGAATAGATTACATCCATTGTCTGTAAGGAAATCTGAATACTGTATTCACTGTAACATGTATATGATGATCCAGTTTAATATCTTTAACAGGGTTGTCCCTAAAAAAAAAGAACAAGGATATCTGGGATATCTTCTCTAACATGGACTTCAGGGGGTCCAATATCAGCTAAAATAGCCTGGGAATTACATCATTTTAGCTTGGGAAATTCTCTGGCCCATGGGTCTTAAAGACAACCCTACTATTCTTATTTGCCTCAGCAAAAATTAACACCTAGCTGTCAGACATCCATCCCACTTTATACTGATAGTAGAGATATTTGACATCTCTAGTTATATACAAGTACATGTATCCTAAGTTAACTATTCAGTCACAGAAGTATGATTTGTGTACAAAAAAATCATAACTGTACGGGAAAATAAATAATTTACACTTGGTAATAAAGCCCAGCCCAGACTATTTTTTGTGCTCGAGTGCGAGCTAAAATATATAGTCAGACTTTGAATGTTTGCTTTTACATCGATTTGTTGCTTTTTTTTTCTTCTGCGCTTTTCATGCTTGAAATTTGATTGTACATGTATCAAATTGATGGAAACATGTTTTTGCAATAAAGCAATTGATTATCCAGATATCTGTGTGTAGGTAATGGAATTATGCTGTCCAGTCAACTTTGTTTTCTTTATGTTTGAAAAGAAAATCAAAGCACATGTATTACTGTCAAAAAGAACTGTTTTAGTCTTAATATTACATACAGTTTTTTGTACTGAGAAGAATTCCATTTTCTTTTTTTTAATTTTTTTGATGTATGAATACAGTAGTCATTTGTCAAATATTTGTCTTTGTAGTATGTTTATAATAACTGTACGTCTAGCACAACGAATCACTCTGTAGCGAGGTATATTTAGACTCTGGTATATCTTCCTGAAGTAAGAACTTGGGACAATAAATACTCATTCTGCCCCTGTGATTAGGAGTAGACTTATCAGCATTTATAATGTTATCTCCGTTGTCAATAACTGTTGTCTCTTGTTTCTGGTGTTCTAATTTTTGAACTATGCAAATAAAAGATGTTGCTTTATCTTGAGTAAGCATTGATTTGGTTTTATGAATTCTTCCAAGAGTTCTATTTGTGCCCAGTTGCATCATACTGTATACAGGGTTATTTTCACCCCATTTTATTTTCGCTCTTTCACACTTGGAAACAATTTTGCCCCATTTTAAATTCGCCCAGTTAGTCAGTTACAATTCTGTTTAAGATTCTTTATTCTGTGTGTTTTTAATTTGGCCCGTTTTAAATCCGCCCACCTGTGGGTAGGACGAATGGGGCGAAAATAAAGCGGGGCTAAAATTTCCTTGTACGCAGTATTTAAAATTGGTTGATACAGCCTTTATACTGTATTTATATTACACCTTTAAGACTCAGGTGATGAAACTATGTTTGGTTGAAATTTATCATTGATAAAATTCACTTACTAGGCAAACTTTGTTTACTCTGAACAGAAGAACAAAAATTAGGTCACGAACAGTATACACATGTACGTAAAAAAGAAAAAGTATGTGGAATCTATTCAGACAGTAGTATTTATGTGTACACATTCAAATACAAAATACTTTGCATAACATTCCATTAAATAAATAGGTATAAAATAAAGTAAAATATATTGTAAAAAAATCGACAAAAGGTTTATCACAGACTAGCTATCATATAATCACAAAGAAGTAATTGAAATCTACAACTCATTGTCGGAACACGCAAGGTTTTCTCTCCGCAAGTTTACACTGCATTCAATGTATTCAATTGAATATAGTGTAACGCAAAGAAAACCGATGGGTTCCTTCAAAGTCTACAGGCTTAATGTTGAAATAGGTCATCTTCAAAATTGTCATCATGATTCATTTAAGACAGTCCCTTTGAGATCTCTGGGAGACATTTGAATGACTCAGCACATTAGTATCTGATTGGTTGATCAGAGTGGGTGGGTGGTGCTATATGTCATGACTTGGAGTTGGAGCCACTGTAGGGCATGTGCTTCAGTGTATACAAAAACACACTTTGTTCCTCCAGGTATTTCTGATCCTGAAAGAAAGAGGAGAAACTTGTCAGTAACTTAAACATTAGTATGCACATTTAAGGTACACATCTTCCAAGTCAAAGTCATTAAAGGCCCCTCAAAGAGTAAGAACTCTATGGTCAACAGCAGCCCTTATATACAGTAGACGTACTTTTTTCCAATACCCCTCAATTTCTGTTTAATCCGATTTCTCAAGTCTCTATATGCCTTGCATTTATATTAAGTACGCTTGGACAAATTTTAGCGGAAAATTTGTGACCGCGTACATCGCATAAATTAATACCAAGCGGAAAAAAATACTTCTACAGTACCTTTAATGCCTCCATTTTCCACATGCGTATTGAGCGATCTGCCTTAATGGACTCTGTAATGGAACCTACGGAGTTTAGAGATTGTTGCATAGCTGGGTTGCTCGGTTGCATAGCCTGGTTGCCCTGTTGCATGGCAGGGCTCCTGTAGACTTGGTAAGTTGGTACATTGTTCTGAGGTATCATCATTTGTTCCCCACCTGAGATTGAGATAAGCCAAATTCATATTCAAAATTTGAATCAACTGAAAAGTTTTGCATAAAAAAAATTTAATCAAGCTTCTACTCAAGACCAGCTGTCCATATTATTGTACATATTTATACCCTGTATCTACAATGTTCCAGACATTACACAGCCAACTCACCCTGAGGCTTAACCCCCGCTCCACCAGGTGTCCGACAATTAGGACACAGCATGGCGCTTTTTAAGTTTTCCACCTCCTTCTTCTCTTTAGAAAGACGAAGACGGTCCTAGAATTTCAAAATATGCCGGAATTATTTCTGCTTCTCATTCAAATATTACCATTACTTCAAGTTTTTTTTCCATAAAATTTAGCGTTTTGAAAATTTCTTTAAAGATATCTGATGATTTCTTGTACAAAATTTGTATATTTAACTTTGATAGTTAGAAAAAATGTTAAATTTCTATGTTGCAAGTAAAAGTTTAATATTAAATAAACAAAAGTGGCAAAATTTGATTTCCAAATGACTGCTCCTGGCTTACATCAGCAATCTCCCTTTCTTTGAGTCTGAGTAGCTGTACTTGATGTTGTATGCTGGCTGCCCTCTCCGCTTCCTCACTCTCAAGCTTCTTGGCCTCGAGCAGAGCACTCCTTCCTTCCTCCAACTTAGACTGAGATTCCTGTTCAGAAGAATAATGTGCTTAACATCAATACTGTATGTTTAATGAAGTGCTTTTTCATATCAAAAGAAATTCAAAATAAAATACACCTACTAAAATTCACATTTTATTGGCAGTAAATTTATTTCCACATAATTTTGCAAGGCTGTGAAATTGTGAAAACTTAATTCTCGGGTATATTTATGTAACAAAAGATATATAAAAGGAAGTTTAAATTCACGAAATTTTGTCTCGCATACTGTAGAAATAACTAATGACTATCTCACAAAAAATGCATCTACTGATGATAGGGCAATATAAATAATCACTAAGAATACTAGACACTGACCACAAACATCTGGTCGACCTCCTCTGACCTCTCATTCAGGGTCTGGGCGGCCCGGATGAGGTCCTCCTCTTTCTCCGACATCTTGGCTTGTTCCATCTCCAGCTTCCTCCTCTCGCTGTCCACACGATCCTCCTCCCGCTGAAGTTCCTGGCGACGAATGTTCTGTTTGTTCTTCTCTTCAGATATTGCCTTCATCAGAGCTTCAAATTCTGCCTTAGCCTAAAATGTTAATTTTTCATTAAATTATTTGTAATTAAATGTATCTGCAAATAAAAAATCCCTTTTTTGTTTTGTAAAAACTATTTCAATTCAAACTTCCAATTATGAAAGCATAGTGAATAAACACTTTGAAAAATTCCATACATATACACTTAAATTTCGTCTGTACCAATTTGATTAGTTTTCCTACCCAGTTTGACAGCTGGACAAGATTAAAATACCTTAGCTGATTTGACAGCTCACAATTATTCTATCTTATACATGCACATTAATCTCATCGTCTATCTCACCTGGGCCAGTTTGAACGCTGGGTCATTATTTTGTTACCTGAGTCAGTTTGATTGCTGGGTCATTATTTTGTTGCCTGGGCCAGTTTGACTGCTGGGTCATTATTTTGTTACCTGGGCCAATTTGACCACTGGGTCATTATTTTGTTACCTGGGCCAGTTTGACCGCTGGGTCATTGTTTTGTTACCTGGGCCAGTTTGACCGCTGCATCCTCTGCGTCCTCCCTCTGAACGGTGAGGGCCACGTTGAGTTTGGTTCTCTCCTCGGCTACTGACTGCCTCTCCTTGTGTAGTTGTGACAGGACAGATTTCTGCTCCTCCAGCAAAGTCTCCTGTAGGAATAAAATAAAGGTATGGCATCTATTCTCAATGATCTCTCTTTGACTTGCTCTTTACTGACTTAACCCCTTTATTACTTTAAATAAGACCTATCGTTAGATTTTGTGTAACTGACAATGCCGACTCTTTAGCAGACTCAAGACTTTTTCTCTAGCTTGCTATTTATGGACTTATTTGCTCTATATTGTACCTTTTTCTAACATTCTGTTGACTAAATTGCCCTTATCTGCACGAAATTGGAGCTCTCTTTGCAACCTCTATTTACAGACATACCCTTGTTTTCTCTATATTTGACCACTGTCTGGGGCCTCCTATTTATTGACTTACCCCTTTTTCTTTATAAGACCTCTCTCTGGGGCCTGCTTTATATTGACTTACCCTTGTTTTCTCTATATTTGACCTCTCTCTAGCCTGTTGCTCTGTCCACAGTCTTCTCTCTTCCTCTAATGAAGTCTGTAAACTTTGTAATCTTGTTTGTTCTTGCTTGACCTTCCATCTTTCCTAAATATTGAATGAAAATCAATTAGAAAATACCAACAAACATTTTCAGCAAGCAAAATTTTCACAATTTTGCTGAAAGAATATTTTTGATTTTCTATCCCTATCTTTCAACTAATTTGAGTGGTTTTCTTTTTTCAGAATAACTTTATCAAGACAGTCTAGTAATGATTATTCATCAGTGCCCCTTCCCTCCCTCTCCCATAAACAAAATAGGAACAAGCCACTGAGCACTTAAACCTTGTCACTAAAATGTCTACCTGATAAAAAGAACTGACCTCATCTAACATCCTGGTCTGTTCCCGGAGTTGTGTTTCCAGTCGACCAATCAGATCTTCCAACCGTTTCCGCTCGAGATCATTTTCCTCCTGCTGTCTGTTCAGACGCTCCTGCAGGACTACAAAACAACAACTAGGTAATGTTTGGTGCAGACTTGCAGAAAAAAGCAAACAGGGGAGGTCATGAAATCTGTTTCTGCTATTGTGTATGTCAAAACAAACATGTACCAAGGACACAATGTGCAAGACTTAACATTGTAGTACAAGCTGTCACTAAAGAATCTATATTGACCTAACCCTAACTCTTTCGAGATTTCTAATTCAGAGTTAACTTTTATTACTTACTTCTGAGTTGTTCATCCTTTGAGCGGATAGCTATCTCTCGTTCATCCAGCCCCATGTTATGCCAGCTATCCACCTTCTTCTGTAGCTCCCCCAAGTCTCTGGCATTATTTTGTATCATAGAAACTGCCTGGACTAAGGACCTAGTTATTAAACAAATATCATCTATCAGATTGCCATAAAAAAACAAAAATAAGGATTCTATCATTGTGATACAACTAGAGGCATTATCACAAAAATATTAGACTCTAAATTAAAACCATGGCCTAATCACACTGAAACAAAAACAGATATCTAATCCTTGTTGAGAATTTGCAGTACCAAAAAATGGCTACATTTCTACAGGTTAACTATTACAACAGGGAGTCTGCAGATACTTAACCTTATCCGAAAAAAAAAAAATTCAAACAAGACAACAAATACTGTTTACACTGTATGTGACAATTTGATGCTGTAAATCAAATTTTTTTTGCAAGCCAGAAATATCTGCCATTTTCATGACCACCTTTTACTTGCAAATACTGGTATTTCTTGCAACAAACAAATGATTTTCTTGTGTAGTTACTGTCTACAGGGATATTTTTGCCCCAAGTAATTTTCGCCCTTTTGTACCTGCCACCAAGTTTGCCCCTTTAATTCACCTGTCCATAGTTCTGATTAAGAAATTATGTTGCTTTCTTTGAATTTGCCCCATTTTAAACCATGAAGAGGGCAAAAGGGGCGAAAATAAAACGGCAGCGAAAATTTCCCTGTATACAATATGTAAAATATATGCTTAGTTACAAAATTAGTACCGGTAGCTGTTGATGTATTTCAAATGGAAAAATCATTAATAAAAAAATTGTTACAAATAAAAGTTGGTTTACAGCACATGTGAATAGTAAAATGAAGTAGTTAGGGTACTTTGTTGTTTCGTGTGATGTGATGGCAGCCTCTATCTGCTGATCTTTGGCCTTCTTCAACCTCTCTAGATCCTCCTCATGTTCTCTCTTTAGATCTTCTATTGCCCGCCTATAATAAACAAATAACACATTACTGTAGAGTTCTTCATAACTCTGTACTAGTTAGTGATATCATATTTTCTTGATCCTAATTTTAAGAATTTGTGTCAAGAAAAAGAAATTGAAGAAATATTTCTTCAACAGTCTCAGAATGATAAATTTTGTTGGAAATTTAGAAAAATTTGGAAAATACAAAACATACTTCATTGTGTGGTTTAACTTTCCTAGAATTTGAAATAGTTGTCAAAGCAAATTAAAGCAATTGAGCCTACATTCTGCTTTGCATTGTCATGTCATACATACCTGTGAATGGACTTGAGTCTATCTATATCCTGGTCTTTATCTCGTTGGAACTCTTCTACACGCCGCTGGAACTGTGAAGATTGCTCTGATTTATCACTCTCTAACTGCCGAACCTTTGACAAATACTGGTTCATCAACATCTCATTTTCCTCCCGCAATCTACGAAAAGTAAACAAGTGTATTACACGTAGGATTAAAAAACACTACACAATTATGAATTTCACTGTGGGTCAATATGTGATTACAAAGACCCAAGTCAAGTCATATTGACCAAAGACATAGAAAGTGAAAATGGTCTGTTCAAGCTTGTGAGGTCACTATCATTTTCTGTACCTGAGGTTTCTTGATTAAAATCAACAGATACATTTTCCATGAGAGGTCAAAATGATCAAAACCCATAAAAAGATCAATCTTGATGCCCAATGAAACCAGAAGGACATTGTCTTATTTTTTAACACAGCAAATATTTTATATATTATATTTTTCATTGCATTTATTTGGGGGACTGGGGAGGGAGAAAATTCTTCATTTCAAAAGGAATAGAGAAGCTCTTGTATATTTTGTTGTGGTTCTGATGATTAATGTACAATATTCTTTCTTTAAACTTTTGTCATCCTCTCTTTGTAACAAGTGTGACTAATATACTAAGTAAGACACAGGACTATAATTAGTATAAACAGCAATAAGACATTATACAAATCTAAAGTAACTACAAATAAGCCTACCTGGTTTCTTTGTTTTTATGCGTATCTTCAATTAGTTCTAATCTGCTCCTATTCAAATTAAAAAATTACAAATGCATTTTTAACAAGCAATTACAGGAACACATGCTATATTACTATTTACTATATTTATTCTGCAATGCTATGTGCAGCCAAAACTAAGCGTTGATTTAACTGACATGCAGAAAAAAAACTGCACTATAAGTTTGCTTTACCTAAACATCTGTATATGATTACCACTTTCATTATTTAAGCGAAAATCTATGCAAAACATTATGTGAATACTTGTATGAATTCTCAATAGTCTGTCTTTCTTCCTCAAATCTTCGCTTGTTCATCTCCAAAAGTGAGTATGCATAATCCCTCTCTATTTCCATCTTGTATAGCTATAATAAATTTACATGCATTAAGGTTATTCTTAATACAAAAAGACTGTTAAACCCATGTTATGGACACAGAATGTTTGAGGAGTTACCTACCCTTGTCTGGGCATCAATCAGGGATCTAGGTGGGTTGGCCATAACAGATGTCCGTGTCTCGGGGGTAAAAACTGGGGGTGGTGGAACATGAAACTGAAAAGATACCATTACACATATCTAAAATTTTATTCAAGTAATTTGAAAACAACTAAAGCACATAACAAATTTATGAATCCTCTTTTAAGTCTACAAATACATGTAACTGAAAACTTTTGTACTACACATACAGGTAACTCTTGATGGCTCGAACTTCGATCTCTCGAAGTTCTTGATCGCTCTAAGTGAGTCTCCGATCCCGAATTATTCCCCAATATAACTAAGCAAATTTACTCTTGATTTCTCGTACTCTTGTATTTTTTAATTAACCCGATTATCTCCCGAAGTCAAAATGCAGTCCCGCTATGCATATTCTATTGAAATTTACCCTCGATATCTCGAAGTGGCTAGTACGTGTATACAAAGTTACATAATTAGCAATTTAATGGCCCCAGGCATAAGACGCGGGTCTCCTGAAACGGGATGTTTATTCAGGTCATGAGGTTACACTTATACTGTAAGGTGATAATTGATTTATAATTAATCTTATGTTGCCTATGTGCTATTAAGATAATTATCATTGACTGTATTAGGATAATTTGGAAACGTGGTGTCACTGAGAAATTGTAATTTCAGATTACAAGACGAAACACTTAATAAATTTAATTTTTATTTCGAATCAGTGTCAAAGTTTAATGGAATATGAAAATCCAGAAACAGCCTCATTGTCAATATGATGACTATTGTTGGATAAATACTTACAGAATTTTGTTCAATGCATATATTTGGAAAAGTTACAATGCTATGTACCACACGACACTGTAAAATGTTGTTTTCATATAATGAATGCGTAGTATGATATCCGTAATTTATAATAGAATTGCAGCAATAAATAAACATGAAATGATGATGTATATTGTTTGCTTTACTCAGTTTAATAAATATTCATCTAAAATACGAAAATATATCATTGTTTTATAAAAACCACGTGTAAAAAGTTAGCACTGCATGAAAATCCTTACATCCGGTAAGACTAATTTTAAAACCTGTCAAACAAACATGGAAAATTCCGGACTCTTGAAAACTCGAACTCTTGATCTCTCAAAGTTTTTCCTTGGTCCCGCGGACTTCGAGGTATCAAGAGTTACCTGTAAATGAATCTATTCTAAACATGTTTCAAATTACCTTAGTCCTTTGCCTTAAATATTTTTAGTGTGATAAATGTACCTTTCTGGATAAACAGTACCTTTGCAGCCTGTTTAACAAGAAAAACAATACCTTTGCAGCCTGTTTTACGAGATAAACAATACCTTTGCAGCCTGTTCCTGCTGCTTCCTTATCATCTCCTCCATCTGAGCTTGTTGTGCCAGGAGATTCTCTTGCTGCTGTTGTTGCTAAAGCAATTCAAACTTACATTAATATTGTTTTTATCATCACAACCAAAGTCTTAAAAATCACATGTAACAGCAAAGAATGAGCATTTTATACAGAAGAAAAAAGCTATTTTTGCAGCATGATGTGCAATGTTTAATTGTCCCACCTAAAACATTACTGTGCACCAGAATCAAAGTCATTACCAACCTGTCTGAGTATGTCTGCTTGTGAAGCCAGCATTTCTTGTCTCTGGTCATCACCTTTACTAGTATTAAACAGGTCAGTAACTAGAGCTGTCTTCTTTTCCTCCCTGGGGGGATCAAACCTGTCTGTCTGATTCCCAGTGAGGGGGAGGCCCATCAACTCCTCTGTCTCTCCAAAAATTATACTGGGGCCTGTGCTGAGTCAGGTTTTTATTAGGGCTCTCCGATATCTGTGGCTTCCTGGACTGCTGTGGCATAGACAAGGGGCTGTAAAACATATTCACTATGTTGTTATTTTTTACTCTGTTCAGGTTGATGTGCATTGAGTTTATCTTGTCATTAATCTTACATGAAAATGTCAGTTATATAAGAAAACGGAATTACCCCGTGTCTTTCGGGGGTGGTTTAAACAAGTCTCTGTCATCAGCTCTTAGGGAATTCCCACCAAATGCTGGAGATTCCAATCTGTAAAAATATCATTATAAGATTTAATAAACAAGTACACATTACCTACATGCATGTATTTCTTATACGTAAACAAAAGTTTAAAGCTTCTTTTAAAAAGTATACAAATCCATACCTATATTTTCTTCACATCATATATCTCGACTGAAATCATTATGGAAATTTTCACCCTGACCTACATATTTTAAAATTAGGACATCCTAACCTACATACCTTGACTTGAGCAGGCTGTTGGGGTCAAGCCCTGCCCCCAGGGAATCCTCCTCCTCTTTACTGCTGCTCAGCCCCAGCCAGTCGGCAGGGCTTCCCTTGGGCTCCGTCTTTGGGGCTGTCTTCTGCTCTGTTTTTGGTTCTGTTGATTCTTCAGCTTTGTAGCTAGACAACCATTCCTTTCTCTTGTCTCCTGCACTACTTGGAGGGGTAGTCTAAAAATAACCAAGAAAAAGGTTTTAATGGATTCTCTTTTCTGTGATAATTTTAGTGATCATATCAATATTCCATCATTTAACTAATCTTGCATTTCTTTAAACATTTAATAAAACTATACAAACTAAAACTGACATACAAATATTGGAAAGATACTACTGTTCATAGCTAAGCAAAATTATGGGAAACAATAGAAATTTCCTTTGCTAGTAAAGAGACAGTATCTTTTATATACAAAATCTTTGGAAAGGATCTTTAAGGATTATTAAGGGTCTGATTTGTTTTACTTTCTGCTGTGATTTGGCTCTCATCCATGATGCTGGTTCATCATCCTCATCATCAGCATCATTAAGTCCGAGCCAGTCCGCCGCACTCTTTGGTTTGGGAGTGGATTTAGCTGGCTTTGGTTCCGGTTCCTTGTTCTGTGGTTTAGACTCCTGCGGTTTACTGTCGGCCTGAGGTTTACTGTCGGTTTTGACACTGGTTGGTTTGTCTGTCTGTGTGGCAGGCTTGCTCTCTTGTTTGGGGGGAGTAGAGGAGACAGAAGGGGCAGACTTGACTGCTGTGGCGATGTCGTTTAACCAGTCCATGTCATCTGGTTTTTTACTGAGAGATGAGGCGGGGGATCTACCACGAGATGGGGGGCGGTCAAATCCGAAAATATCATCCTCATCTTGAAACCTTAAAAAAGCACAAAGAGAACTCCATTACAAATACTTCTCCAAAATCAAATCTTATCAATCTGTCATTAATTTACAAAAATAGAATTTGCATGTCACTTCACAACACCTTTAATTTTATTAATGTTCACTGTAAACATTTTTCTACACATCACTGAAAGGTGACGGATACCTGACAGATCTGCGTGATGTGGGACGGGAACTAGTTGACACCACTGATGGCTGGTACCCTCCAAACTGAAAATCCTCCTCCTCATCTTCTGTAGAGACAAATAAATATAAATAGAAAATTGTTTGAAAGGGGTAATAATTAACTGGTGCATTAAAATATCACAAACAATTCATATGAAATAAATCCTTCCACTCTATTGAAGAAGAAATAAAAACATCAAAGTTAATTTACTCTTTTTGAATCTAGGCACACTGACTTAGATAATTTTTTTCTCTTACTCTATATATCACTTACCGTTATTGGGCTGTGTGTATTTTTTGTCCAGTACAAACTCTCGCCTTTCCTTCTTGGTCTCCAGATGTTTGCTGACTGCCGAATCTTTGGCCAGTAATTTGTCCATCACTGACCGGGCTGGCTTGTCCTCCTCTTCAGTGGACTTCACCTTCTGATTAAATAATGTCTCCTGCAATCTATATTTTCTCCAGGAAATCATCATCATCACTGAAGATACCCGGTTCCTCCTTCTTTTTAGGCTGAGCTGCAGAAGCTGCTGAAAGATTTATGAACAGAATCATTAAAATTAAATACAGATGCCCTGGGAGCCAGTGCGAGGTCATTTTTAAGGCCTTTTTAAGAATGTTAACACATTCTTGCAATCTATATTAAAATTGAGAGAGAGATTACCAGCTTTTGGTGGCTCCTCAGCCTCTGTATTTCCACCACTGCGAGTTGGAGGTCTGTCAAACAAATTACGTCTTTTGAGCTCTACAAAGATCAAAACAGAAACAAGAAAAAGGTTTTAATGGATTCTCTTTTCTGGCAATAATTTTAGTGATCATATCAATATTCCATCATTTAAAATCTTGCATTTCTTTAAACATTTAATAAAACTATACAAAATAAAATGAAACAAATATTGTGCAAGTTAAAATTTGTTCATAGCTAAGCAAAATTGTGTTTTTTCAATTTTGTGTTAAAAAATAGAAATTTTTTGCTAGTAAAGAGACAGTATCTTTATATATACAAAAATATCTTTGGAAAGGACATTTAGGATTATTAAGTTTGTAGTTTTAAACTTTCTTTTCACTTTGAATCTCATCCATGATGCTGGTTCATCATCCTCATCATCAGCATCATTAAGTCCGAGCCAGTCTGCTGCACTCTTCGGTTTGGGAGTGGATTTAGCTGGCTTTGGTTCCGGTTCCTTGTTCTGTGGTTTGGACTCCTTATATTTAAGGTCGGTTTTGACAAGGTTGGTTTGTATATCTGTGTGGCAGGCTTTAATAAAGCTTTCTTGTTTGGGTGGAGCTGATTGATCGAACACAGAGGGTGCAGACTTGACTGCTGTGGCGATGTCGTTTAACCACTGTTGTCAGGGTTGGTTTTTTACTGAAAGATGATGTTTTCAAAGCCTTATGAAGTTTATTTTAAAATATTAAAGATCATTATTAAATGTCATCCTCATCTTGAAACCTTAAAAAGGCACAAAGAGAACTCCATTACAAATACTTCTCCAAATCAAATCTTATCAATCTGTCATTAATTTACAAAAATAGAATTTGCATGTCACTTCACAACACCTTTATTTTATTAATGTTCACTGTAAACATTTTTCTACACATCACTGAAAGGTGACGGAGGACCGACTGTGGTATCTCCCTTCTGAGGTTTGGAGCTGGCTTTAGCTTTGCCTGCTGTAGAATCATCCTCTTCATCACTAAATCCAGCCAGTAATAAATATAAATAAAAAAAATGACAAAATATTTAACTGGTAGCATTAAAAATAAGACAATTCATATGAAATAACTTTTTACAATTGAAGAAAAATAAAAACATCAAAGTTAATTTTCACTCAGCATTGTAATCATCAGGCACACTGACTTAAAAAAAATTTTTTCTCTTATTCCATATATCACTTACCAAAATTAACTGAAAAAAATGTATTTTTTGTCATGAAATTGCTCTCCTTTAATGTTATGATAATTCATGGATACTGAATTTCACTTGAGGACCCACCTGTATAATCATACTTCTGTTTGGCTTTTGGGACAGTTCCTGGTCTCTCTGGGGTGGGGGTGCCCCCTGGCTTTAAAGACGAGGAGGCACTACCAATATCTGAAACAAGGAGACACATGTAGTCAGGATAAGCTAATAAAATCATAGCAGTCAATATGTAGATTATATTCAAATTTGATATGCTTGTATTGTGATGGCTAATTCTTTGCTGCAATTATTCATGTGCACAGCATGAATATGAAAACAGATCTATATAAATGTAATACAATACAGCTGGATATAAAACCAGAAGTCTTTTTAGACTGAAGCTCTTTTTGAAATTAACACAGAGAAAAGTCTTGCAGCTATATTAAAATTAGAGAGAGATCATTGATAAAGTCTCTTTATGTTCTTAGTTAGTCTACTTGTGTGCCAAGTTATACTGAAATCAGACAAAACTATAGGAGGAGTAGATCATTTTGAAACAATTTTAAATATTTCTATTTTTAAAACCACGGCAAAGGTTCATCAAAATTAAAATTCGATATACAGAAATATGTTTTAGTGTATTCTACTTATGTGCCAAGTTATATTGAAATCAGACCCAAACTGTATTTCTGAGGAGTAGCATTTTGAAAGAATTTCACAGAAATTTCTATTTTTAGTAACCACGGCAACACCGTTCATCGAAATCAAAAACCGATACACAGAATTATGTATCTTAGTGTATTCTACTTGTGTGCCAAGTTATAATGAAATCAAACCAAAACTGTAGGAGGAGTAGCATTTTGAAAGAATTTCACAGAAATTTCTATTTTTAGTAAACACGGCAACACCGTTCACAAAATAAAAACCGATACACAGAATTATGTATCTTAGTGTATTCTACTTGTTTGCCAAGTAATACTGAAATCAGAAAAACTGTAGGAGGAGTAGCATTTTGAAAGAATTTCACAGAAATTTCTATTTTTAGTAACCACGGCAACACCGTTCATGTAAAAAAAACCGATATATAGAATTATGTATCTTAGTGTAGTCTACTTGTGTGCCAAGTTAAATTGAAATCAAAACAAAACTGTAGGAGTAGTAGCATTTTGAAAGAATTTCTCTCCTTTAATGTTATGATAATTCACGGCAACACCGTTCATCAAAATCAAAAACCTGTATACACAGAATTATGTATCTTAGTGTAGTCTACATGTGTGCCAAGTTATACTGAAATCAGACCAAAACTGTAGGAGGAGTAACGTTTTGAAAGAATTTCACTACCAATATCTGAAACAAGGAGACACATGTAGCCAGGATAAGCTAATAAAATCATAGCAGTCAATATGTAGATTATATTAAAATTTGATTTTATTGTGATGGTTAAAATGGTTCTTTGCTGCAATTATTTATATGCACTGTATGAATATGAAAACAGATCTATATGAATGTAATACAATACAGCTGAATATCAAAAAGAGTATTTATTTTTTATGCATTAAATGAATGTTTGAGCACTCATATGCTTAAATATAGTTTGAGCTACTTCATGAAATACATATATGGGCAGATACTGAACAAAATGAGTGCCACAAAATATTTTGTGCATTCCATATGAATCTGATAGTCTTATATGAAATCGACAACAAAATTAATTAGACATGATTGAAAACTGAAAGCATGAAAAAAAAACAACTCTGTAGCAAGAAAAATGTAATTTAAATATAAATTGTTTCACTGACGTCAGATATCAATAGTGTGTACTCAAGTGTCTGTGAGAAATTCAGGCTTTATATGTGTGAATGTTGAAGAGTGAATATATGGTGAGAAAGCTAAATGAATATAATTCTTATCATACCAATGAGTATGCTCTGGATAAAATTTCTTCCACAATACAACTACTAACAAAGAGGCCTATGGACCATTTTGCTCACCTGAGTAATATTGTTTGTCCAAAAATTAAGAATGCATATTTTTTCAATGGTTGGTAATTTTGAAGAATCCTCTGAAGGGATGGGATGGGGGGAAAAATTATCAAAAAGTGTCACTTTACCAATACAATCCTGAAAAAATGTGTTCAATGTGTTGCAATGTAACAATTCCTAGCAGGTGTCATCTAGTGCCTGATAGCCTCTAAAGAAAAGTATGAGCAGTGGACATCTTTCCATTTTTGCGTTTAATGACTCAGGTGAGAATAATGGTTATGGCCATAAGTCTTTTGTACATTTATCCTTTTCCTACATCAAAGTCCTTATTAGAGTTACTCAAGCAAATTTTCAATGCAAATTAAACATGTATTAAAATGTTACATGTATTAATAGTATACCCAGACACTAAGATTTTGCACTGTGAAAGTACGACCTGAACATTAATTTAAAAAAAAGCAATTTTTCTCTCATTCCTTTTCTAATGCATCATGCCAATATATTAACCAAGCACCTGCTCTAATTAAATAGTATCAGTATACATGTACTAAATAATTTCAAATCATGCAGAAAATGAATGGTGTCCATACCTGAGCCTGTGAAGAGACAAAAGTACAATGATTGTCAAACATTTGCTTTTTAATACGATATTGCTAAAATGACATGATTTTTTTTTCTTCAAATTTTTACGATATTATGACCAGGAACCATAACTCCTACCTGTCATTTTCCCTGGCGCAGTGCCGGGTTTATGGTCTGGGATTGCTGCTGTCCCAGACTTCTTTAAGCTCCCTCCCCTGGGGGTGAGGGAGCCATCTGGTGTTGGTGACCCTGTTCCCCTCCCGGCAGGAGATGCAACTCTAGCAATAGGGGAGGTTACCCTGGCTGTGGGTGAGGTGACTCGGGTCTGGGGGGATGAAGCCCTGGGGGTGGTACTTCGGGAGCGGGGGGTACCAGTTCGCCGTGGGGTGTTGGGTTTACTGGACCTCTCACCCTTGACACTCCCCTTCTTCTTGAACTTCCCTCCAAACAAGTCAGCATCCATGTCCTCCAAATCCTACAAGTTTTAGAACTTATCTATATTGTTCTGTGGCTTATAAATTAAATATATTTTTTTTTAATACGGAGATAGAGATGTACAAGGGAAACAGAGCTCTCTAGATGTTATAAAACTTACTGCCAAGCTCTTGGCCATTTGGTTGACATCAGCATCTGATATGTCAGATAAGTCATCTTCTGCTGTGGCGGCCAGATTACTGTAAAAATCCTCATCTCTGGACCTGTCAAAATTTGGAAATCTCAAATGAACACAGCGAAAGAAAAATGTAAAGGAATTATGGTTGACATGTTGAAGTGAAATGAGTAGTTAAGGCACCCTGCTCCCTTCTTAGATATGAAAAGCATAGACACATGGCAGGCAACAAAATTCAAAGCAGCTGTAAACTGTAAGCATATTAACAATGTCTGTCAAAAAAATAATTATATACAGGTCTTTTAAAAATTAAAATTGATGATCTGATAAACTTTCTCAATATCAAAATTACTAATCCCTAAGCTAAATAATAAACTTGTGTGTACTTTGTAGATAGAAAATTTAGCTACCAAAGATAAGAATTAAACATTGTCATATAAAATATCCACATAAATAAACAATATCTAGAGCTGTAACCAAGGATGTGCAAGCAGGCCATAGAGAGACGGGAAATCAATTTACACAGGGATCTACATGGTGCATAAAATGTCAAACATCTTCAGTATAAATAAATCATGTTGTATGCTGTTCAGATTTTTAAACTTATCGCTTTAGAATCATATTTGCTCTTTTCCTTCAACTGATGTTCTAGTCAATAAGAGTTTTGTAGAAGCTTAACTTTTGGGTCCAAATGCATGTAAACAAAATGAGAAACAAAAGCCTTAGTGTTTTCTTACCCTGGTGGTGAGGAGTTTTGTCTGCATGTAAACAGAATAATCTCATAGCATATAATCCTATAGCTTCAAATTCACATAGTTTATACACAATATAAATGATTCCATAAAGAAACTTTCACAGACTGCAGCATTCCAGTGTATGGTAGCCATTTTGATAGTGCTATACATGTATGACACATTGACAATCAAGTATAGATGTTTCAGTGTCTCAGTGGTTACAACATTTCTTGAGTATTTCACTGTACAATGTTGTAACTAAAGATTTTTTCGTGCTTTGACTGTAAATCAATTTAAAATAAATTCAGCATCTTTAGTAGAATTATTACACATACATATAGCTGCTGTTTGCAGTTATATTTTTAAAGTATTATAATTGCCTTATTTTGCTCTTTTCGGGTTATAAAAAAACCCATTAAATTAATAAAGGAGCATATACCGGTATATATCAAGTATTTTGAATTAAAAAAAAAGGAAGGAAATAATCAAACTCGAAACTGAATTACAATATAACCTTTTTCTGCGAGTTTGCAAAAATTGATAACATTTACAATCATTCACTAAGTTTCCTAAGAAGTAAGTCATTTGAGGATGCCCTACCCTTGCTTTTTCATTCCTGTTTTCACAGCACCAATCTGGCAAAGGAAAAAAATTTGCTATATTGTCAGCTTCATATACATAATATAAAGTATGCAAATAGCTATAATTGTGAAGCTTTACGTGATTTTATGTATTTCTAAGAAAGACACATCAATACAAGTATTAGTGTGATTAGGTTCCATTATACATACCGGCTGAGATGGGGTCTTCTTCTTAGCAGGAGCATCTAAAATGGGAAAGCAAAATAGGAACATGAACCATGATATGCTGTGAAAACCCAGTAATGGATTATCATGCTAAACATTTTTGGGACATTTCATTTCCGGAATTTTTGGTAATTATCAACTTTTCATTTCCGACATTTTTTATTTTTCATTTCCAACATTTTTTTGTTTTCATTTCCGACAATTTTCAAAAACATTAGTAGTACTTTTAGTAACAGATCTTAAGACTTTACTTATGATAAATTTAAAGAAAAAATCATAAATAAATCATTGAAATTCAATATCTGAGTTTTGTAAATCTATCAATGGCTTGTACATAAGTGTGGTGCTGTCACTGACATTTAATTTAATGCATATTAGATGTGGTGAAAAAGTTTATGCTCATTGAACTCTTTTACCTAGACTTATTGCTCAAGAATGCTTAAATGTGTTGATGTTTTTTTTATTTATTTAATTTTTCATCAATATTTTGTAATAAATACTTTTAAAATTCCATTTTCACTTAGAAAACATTGAATTACAGCACAGGTAAATTCCGGAAATGAAAACAAAATTATGTCGGAAATGAAAACAAAAAATGTCGGAAATGAAATAAAAAAATGTCGGAAATGCTATGCATATTTCCGGAAATGAAATGCAGCGCATTATACATGTACTGATTCTAAAAATATAAAAGGTTAAATGACCTCAGTGATTTTAATACATACCATCTACAAGCAAATCCCCAAGTAAGTCATCAAGTCCTTCAGTGGATTTGACCTCTAAAAATAAAAAAGAATATAATTATGTAATAAAATTGTTATAATTAAATTTTGAATGTACATTTGTAATTTTTTTTATATTCAGAAATATCCTTTCACCCTTTATGCAAACAATCTAAATGGGTAAAGATATGTATAATAAAGATGTAAAAGAATCTATAAATATTGTGCATTGATTAACTTTATACTTATAGCAATGGCAGTGGGTTCTATAGACAAATGTGTAAAAACATATATGAAATTCTTATTAAAATCTGCACATTTTTAAAGTCACTTTTTTAATGAAATCTTTCAAGAATTCTCTTGCTACCACATGGGCAGTATTGATAATCATGATAAATAGCTAAGAGAGTCTAAGGGGGGGGGGGGGGGGGTCTGTCCACAAGTACCTGTGTAGTGCATAAAATATGTCCTAAAATAAATCCAGTGTAAAATTTTATATGTCTTGACTTTTTTTTGATTTTGACCATTATAGTAGCTTGGAATTCGATTGTAGATTTTCAGCTCATGCAAAAAATGATGTCACAATTGCATTCTTTCACAAACGGTAACGGGTTCGTTCGCCTGATCTACCTGTTTGCGCAAAGTCCGTTCGCTCGAAATATTTTTCACCCAATACTGTATCTTGTTCGCCCTATATGTGGTTCGCCCAATACTTATATATACTTGTATATATAAACTCATATGAATTAAAAAATAACATATATCATTTTTTCTATTTATTTCCTTTACGAACTTGGGATATTCTTTCTCAAATTCTGATATGAGGAGCAATGTTTATTTAGTCTTAATTAAGTTTTGATTTGATTCTAATGTTTTTTAATGACTTGGTGTTTGCACTATAGTTAATTAGATGATTAATATGATTAATATCAATGTTAATTAGGGGGGATACATCCGTGTTATTTTTACGAGTTGTGCTATGTTTTGAAAACAAAGGACTGAGATGTCAATAGATCCATTATAGACATGAACAATGGATGTTGAAGGTTTTACCTTTGAAGAACCTCCCTTTAATCAAAAAAAAAAAAATAATAATAATTTAAAGGAATTAAACAAATTTAAATTTATTTATGTACTAAAAGTCCAAAGGTCTGTCAGGTCTTTGATAGGTCTTGTATTTAGTGTGACCATTTGTGAAAATATGCATAACATCTGACGGTCTGTTTTAATTCGAATGTACCAAAAATTTGGAAAGAAATTCGTTAGATTTTATTCTATATTAAATAAGGGCAAATGGACTCTGTGCGAACAAGTTTTTGGGCGAGTGGACTCTGGGCAAACGGGCGAACGAGAAATCGGGCGAACAAATTTAGGGCGAACGAACATGGAACCTTCACAAACATTGTGGAGTTTCCAAAAAGTGACAGAGTTAGGATAGTGTAAGAGTGTATCAGTGGGAATGTATTTTTGAACAAACATCTCTGGTCAATAGACTATAGCAGCTGCCTGCAGACTAATAGAACTGCAGAATCTCCTTACTTTGTTTCTTTGCTCCTGGAGTCCACAACTGCAAATAAAGAAAAAATAAACAAAAATAAAAATATGTGTATATCTATTAGCAAATTTACAGTATTTAAACACAAAATTTCAATGCATTTCATATGAAAATCTTGTACAAACTTGTGTAAAAAGCTTATGAATGTTTTATGTATGTTAATTACAACCGCAGCATTTGTTCTTGTCTACTTACATTGTCCATCTTTCCTAATTACTATCTCTACAATGTGTAAGAAAGCATTTTTTCAACATTAAAGCAACGAATTCAGTAAAAATCGAAGTGACTATGGACGCTAACATTTTTAAATGGTCGCTGCCATTTTTATTTAGATCACGTGATAAACTCCGAGATGTTCTCGCGATTTAGCTTTGCTAAGCAACAGACGCCATTGACAAGCAGAAAAAATGACAGGTGAAAAAGCTACAATGGAACCTCCACAGATATACGTGGAAAGAACTCTTGCTATTGTTAAACCCGATGCTATTCACAAATCAGAGGAAATTGAGGACATCATTTTGAGATCGGGATTTGCTATTTTGCAGGTAAAATTAGCGTTAAAGCGCTATAAATTTCATTGTTCGAATTTCCTCTAAATTGAGTGATGGGAAAAAAACATTTATTAATTTTTTTTCAATTAACTTTCTTCAACTTTAAATGATTATCCTTATCATATACTTTTATTACAGAAAAGGCGTGTTCATTTAACACCTGAACAAGCCAGTGATTTTTATGCAGAGCATTATGGTAAAATGTTCTTTCCAAGTTTGGTTGCCTATATGAGCAGTGGGCCAGTACTAGCACTTGTCATTGCAAGGGATCAAGCAATATCATACTGGAGAGAACTAATTGGACCAACTAATGCTCTTAAAGCGAGACAGACTCATCCAGACTGGTAAATCACGTTTTTCAAATATTGTAATGTATACCCATGCAGGGTACTTCGTTAATCCAAAAAGAACAGAAAACATTCGGATGCCAATCTTAATTTTCCCTATTGAATTGATAAAAATTTTAATTAAAAAAATGTGTTAAAAGTAGTATATTTTTCCATTGCTTTCTGCACTTATAGGTGTCATTGTAAGAAGAGATTTAATATATCTAATTCATTATCATATGAAATAATATAATCCCTTTTATTTAAGATTTTAAAATCATTTTTATGCATTGACTTCAGCTTAAAAAATCATGCTAGCCTGTCATTTAAACCCTGTCTTTTGTTATACAGAAATTTGTCACCCAATTTAGGCAGACTGTTAGACCTTGTTTCTGTTTTATAGTTTAAGAGCTGTGTATGGAACAGACGACCAGCGTAATGCTCTCCATGGTAGTGACAGCTTTTCTAGTTCAGAAAAAGAAATTCGATTTTTCTTCCCTGACAGTAAGTTGCATGTTCTTTTTTCTTTGAAATTTTTTTTCTTAAGTTAGATTTCACAACTAACATTAAAAACTGTCATCATTGTATACCGACTAGCTAAAATAAAATTTAGACTTTCAAGAATGAAAGAAAGTTTTAAAACCTGTATATATAAGAATTATTGCATGGTGTATTTATATTTTATAGAACATTTTTAAAAATCAGAAATCAGTATTTAAAGGTGTGTACATGATACTGTTCCTCTGTAGGTGTGATTGAGCCAGTTCCTGTTGGACAAGCAGCCAAAGACTACCTGGCCAAGGCTGTCAACCCCACCCTACTGAAGGGCCTTACAGAACTCTGCAAACAAAAACCCATCGATCCAGCTGTAAGAAGTTTAAAATATTTAATAACTTGTTTTGTCTGCCATAAAAATGCAAAATTATTAACTCCCTTTAGATGTACACATTTACATTTTTTTCTCTCCTATTGCAGATATGGCTTGCAGACTGGTTACTTGAAAATAATCCTAATAAACCCAAAGTTCGCCAGCTGGTTCAGGAACCTAAATAGGAATAAAGACAATGAAATATTTTATAGAATGATTATTATGAATCATCCCTATCTTCAGTTCATCAAACTTTTGTGATTTTACATCCATATTTGTCATATGTAAATACATACTTGTAAATAAATCATCCAAATCCAATTTATGTCGGATATTACTACAATTTTTGTGAAGTAAATATTACTTGTACTACAAATTCAGTTGCTGCAAATCTGTTGCACACTAGTCTGAAAAGTATAGAGGACCAGAGAGCAGCAATGCCATCAACTGAAACATTGAATATTGCGAACAAACAAGTGTGCAGTTTCTCTGATGTTTTTTTAGCTCACCTTGACAAAGTGTTAGCCTCGACTTCCCAGGTTAAAATTTTAGGAGCAAGTCTATTCCCAAGTAACTATAAGCCCTACCTGAACCAGACTTGCATGGATGATGCATCTAGGGAGGAACACTAGTCTACCAGACTCTTCAGATGCTGGATCTGACCTACATTTTCCAGATGAATGACCAGTTTAAAGCTTTTGGAGCAGGTCCATTCCAAGTCCTGCCCAGACCAAACGTGCATGGATGATATATCTAGGGTTGGATGTTATTATTATTAATTAATTAATTAATTAATAATTATTCATTATGTGTACGAAAGGAAAAAACTCTTGAAACCCCAAAATAATGGTTCCATCCACAACAAAATACCCCACTATACATTATTTGAGAAAAATGCCTCTCTTAAAATGTATTGTGGGGTATTTTTTTGTAGAACAATTATTTTTGGATTTTCACGAGATTTTCTATGGTACACATGATTGATTGATTGTATATTGTTTAACGTCGGGCCTCCCGATCACGAAACGAACGCTCTACCACTAGGCATCGTCTCAAGCCATGGTCCGGAGTTCGCATATAGCTCTCTCCTAGAATGGGAGAGGATCGTACATTTAGGCCGTGGTTTGCAATGATGACCACTAGGCTACCGTGACCGGTTTGTTCAAATGATGAATAAGTGTAATATATATAATTTGTGAAAAAATAATGTGCAACAAGCACCCCGCGGGGGGGGGGGGGTTCCTGTCCACAAGTACCTGTGATTATAGCTGCAGATCTGTAGCGTTATGGTTTGATATATTTGTCTTTGACCATAACGCTACAGATCCCGTAATGCAAAAAAGGTGCAATTTACGGCGCAATATTTTTTGCGCACTTTGGGGGAGAATTTCTCCACTTTCCAGCATCAGTCAATTAACTACCTTTCACAACCTAATTCTAGGCACATTATTTAACTAATCTGTATATTTTATCTATCTCCCAAGCCTTTATAGTCGTCTCTACAAGTGATAAATTCGCTTGATTAAAATTATTTGTTACATTGCTGAAAATTCACTTCAAGCGATTTTATTGCCCGTAGAGACAACTATAAATGGTTGGGAGGTGGACAAAATATACAAATTGGCTACAGAATGTGTCTGGAATTAGGGAGTGAAAGGTAGTTGATTGACCAATGCTAGAAAGTGTAGAAATTCCCCCCAAACGTGCGCAAAAAATATTGCGCCGTAAATTGCCTTTTTTGCATTACGGGATCTGTAGCGTTATGGTCAAAGACAAATATATTTAAGGAATCACTGTCTAGTTAGTATAGTATGCCATGGCATCAACGATAGTTTGAAACATGGAATAATTTGTTCGCCCGTTATGCATAAATTATCCCAAGTTTCCCACTATACTTGATGTCCCTGGCATACCATACTAACTAGTAACTAGACAGTGGTTCTTTATATTTCCATTTCATTGTGAAATAAAATTGTAGATTTAGCTTTTAAAAATGTAGACATAGATTTAAATTACACGAGGACTCCCATGCCAAGTTCAATGTAGTCCTCGCCAACTGACGACAAACACAAAGGCAGCCGCACGAGATTTACATGCATATTTGGCCTCCTTAGCGTCAGACACAGAAACAGATGCGCACGAGATTTGCATGCATATTAGGCCTCTCTAGCTCCTGATCTATCGACTTGCCTAATTTACATTCCGGTAGACTTATCAAGAAATCAACTCCTCTAACCTTCAAAGGGTTATCACAGAGAAAAAAAAATTAGAAATGGAAATATAAAACCATAACGCTACAGATCTGCTGTTATGGTCAAAGACAAATATATAAAACCATAACGCTACAGATCTGCAGCCAGGGGCGTAGCAACAGGGGGGGCCAGGCCCCCCCACTTTTTTCCCCAACCGTACTTATACGGTATGAAATGTTAATTAAAAGCCTGGTTGCCCCCCCCCCCCCACATTTTAGACTTATAGTTATGTACCGAAAATGTAGTATTAGAATTGGTACTGAAAGTAGTTGTAACTGAGAAAAAGTTTACCTCCCCCCCCCCCCCCCCCCCCCCCCCCTTCCCACGAAATAGGATTTTCGACTTTGGGCAACTTTTCCTTTTTTTTTTTTTTTTTTTGCTTGTCAACTTTTTCAGGTAAGTAAAAAAAAATTTTCTCTGGCTGGCCCCCCCACTTTCGAAAACGATGCTACGCCACTGGCAGCTACGTTATTAGCAGACCTATTTTTTGTATTCATATGAAGCAAAACTTTTTCTGTGGCCTTCAACTCGACATTTAGATATATCGACAACATATTGTCAATTAACAATGGCAATTTCCATTCCTATGTCAATACGATATATCCTGGTGAGCTTGAGATAAAAGATACCACAGAGTCTGACACATCTGTATCACACTTGGATATTTTACTTGAAAAAGACGTTAATGGTAATCTAACAACCAAGCTCTATGATAAACGTGATGACTTTAACTTTTCTATCGTCAACTTCCCTTACTTATGCAGAAATATACCTTCATCACCTGCAGACGGAGTTTATATATCTCAGATGATTCGATACGCAAGAGCATGCTCTAAGTATAAACATGTTATAAAACTAGGTAAATTATTGACAAACAAGTTGATAGAACAAGAATATCAGCAACCTCGTTTAAAGTCATCATTTCGTAAGTTCTATGGTCGATACAATGACCTTTTCAGCAAATACAATTTATCATTGAGTCAATTGCTAACTGAAGTTTATCGTACTTATTGTTAGTCCATTATTTATACACTGAATCGACAGCAGATTTTCCCGTTGTTTCCCGATAATGACAAGGAGCACACGGCGGGTTTGACCGGTTGGCCGGGGATGTTCACTCATTCATGGCACCTGGTCCAGGGATGGGGTCAATTACTTTAAAAAGTAATTAATTAAATTACAATTACTTTGACTTTTTCTTCAATTAAATTACAATTAAATTACAGGCTTTCTAAGACATGTAATTAATTAAATTACAATTACTTTACAAAAGTGATTAATTAAATTACAAATTACATTTCAATTTTTTTTGGAAAATCCTATAATCCTTGTCAATGAATAATATTATACAGAAGAGGGATCATTCATAAAGCAGATCGCTGCACAAAAATACAAGAAATAGTATGGTAAAGCCATTTGTATACTTGTGATTTAAATTTTAACTTTTATTAACAAAACACTGAAGAACTACTTGGGATCAGTTTGATGCAGTTTCCTCCACACAAACCCTACATGTACACAAACTGCATGTGATATGATATTTGATTAAACAGGGGGTATTTCAATTGTAATATGTCACAACTGTAACCCCTCAAATTAAATATTTCTTTTGAAGTTAATCTAAAACTCATATTGCTATTTCTGCAGAATATTTTTACTTCATAAATAATATTTGTACAGAACAAAACTTTTTCAGATACAAAATTCATTCATAAAATTCTGTTTAGACATTAAAATAATTATCAAATTGAAGGTGTTTCTTTTCTCAAACTAGCAAAGCATTTGAAATTGAAATAATTATCCCCATGCGTTGGCTTTGTCTTATTAATCATGGAATGAATACCTCTTTAGAGGAGTTGATTTGTTTTGATTGCAATTTACACCTGTGATCTGCAGGACAATTATCTCTTATCAACAAGAGAGAACTTAATTAATGACACACATTCCTTTTTCTATTTTTCTTGACACACATATTCTGCAGTGACCAAGCAACAAACTTAAGATTGAAATATAATAAATGTGTATTTCATAGCTGAATAGACCTAGGAAGGGTGGTGCAAAATTCAGATAAACATGAAAAAAAATTTTTTTTTTATAAAATTGTATATTAAATAGAAAGAAACTAGATTAACTTCAATCTGTAAAATTGAAGGATTGAGGATATGTTTTGCAATAAAAAAACGTAGTAAAATGGGGAGGTAGTGGTGACAGTATATCATTTGAATTCATGTACATGTGTATCATATAAAGTAATTGAATGTAATTGAAAAAATAATTGAAATTACATGGTATTTATTCAGTGTAATTAATTAAATTACAATTACATGTAATTGAAAAAATGTTCAATTACAAATTACTTGCAATTACTTCAAAAAATGTAATTAATTACAGCCAATTACAATTACTTTTTTCAATTACCCCATCCCTGACCTGGTCCCACCTCTGATGTTTTGGAGGTCCGTGTTTGTTCTGCTCCTATTTTGTATTGTTTTATGGACTTTGATATTGAATACTTTTCGTTATCTCCATATCCTTCATACAAATACATGTATTGAATGGAACTGAGGGTAGCATTGATTATATTATAAACCTCCAAAGGATGAAATATTGCCCGACGCTAGCGTCGGGAAATACATGAATTTTATCCCCGATCATTTTAGAGGTAAAAAAAAATAATGAATGAAAATTTAAGAAAACACAAAATAAGTTTTTTTAATATAAATACCCTGTAACCTTCATGATTTTTTATTTCCTGAAATTCTAATTCAACATTTTACTTTCGCAATGAAAAATAAATAATAAAAAAAAATACAAGTATAGAAATAATATACACGTACAATGTATATCTTAACACAGATATAGTCTATGTATATCACAAAACAGTTTTATTTTTCTCCTACACTACAGAGGTATCGTGACATGCGCAGCTTAAATGTTCCTCCTGTGATGCTATTATCATATCCTCCTCGGAAATATTGTCCTGGTCCACGGGCTTTGAATACACTTTGCCAAACGTGGCATGTTTTTGTGAGCACTTAGCCCGACATCTTGAATATGAAGCCTCCCAACCTCGACGTATCTTCTGTACGTATTTGTCAATACAAGGAAGTGAGAAAACAATCTTGAAGAAAAGTGTGAAGAATGGAATAATCAAACTCAGAAATGTTATAGATTGCAGCGTTTTGCAAAGCCCGCCTTTCGCCCAACCGGGAGCACCCATGATGACCACGTGACAAATGGAAAGGAAAAGAACCACGTGACCAAGCTTTGATTGGACAAATCTCCATTCCCTCCAGTTCAGAGTTCTTGTGACGGAGGGTAATGTTGATATAGCAATGATACACATTCCAACAAAGGCTAGAATCCCCACTAAACACGCAGCTTCACCCTTCCAGACCATCCAGGTTTTGATGGGTATTTTGATGTCATTCGTTCGATTTCCTGGAATGACGATCGTCGTGGACTGAAACCAGGAACTTAGATATGTGGGGCTCATAATCAAAACTGACATGATGACATGGATACAAACAAGCAGAAAGGCTATAAGACCGAGCTGTTTTCTTGTCAAAAGCCATCTATTTAACCAGCTTGGGAAGTTGATGTGTTTTGTACCATGATATAGCTGAAAGGCACTTGCAAAAGAGCTTGGTAGATATGTGCACGCATACACAGTCATCGCAGTCATACAGAGCGGTTTGTTCAGAACTTTCACAAAGATCTGGTCCCATCGATACGCGGTTTTCTTGACGAAGTAAATGAAAATGATATATAGAAACCACACAATGAAAACTCCTACGGTGAAAAGAATAGGCGTTTTCCATCCAGGGAAAATTTTCAAAGGATACGATTCGATACGTCGGGCTGATTGCAAGAGGCCCCAATCACTTGCCACAAATCCCATGTCTCTCGCAACAACGCACACTTTCTCCCGCGCTGCTAAATCATCGCCTGCTATAAAGACTTCTTGGCTTCCACCCGCGAACTCATTTTCCATGGCGTATGCTGATATGACATTGAAGCCTTTGACAACATTAGCATTGGGTAAAAGGGAACTAAGATATTCCGCATTGGATCGGTGCTTCGGAAGTTTTAGTCTGTTAGAAACATCCACAACTATTTTTCCAGTAAAAAGGTCTCTATGGTCTGACAAACAATCTTTATAGTTTTCAAAATGAATCGCCAAAAACACTATGGACACCTGCTTGACACAGTCTTCTAGTGACGTCATCATGACATTGCAAAGACAATTGTCCACTTCCGATAGATTGCGCGGACGTCGGCTTCCGATGACCACTTCATAACCCGCGTTTGTCAGTCTTTTGGCGAGGGCGCGGGAAAAATTTCCTGACCCGATGATCCCCACCCTGGTTTTGAGCTCACGGGGCATCATTCACTCCTGTAATGAAAATAATGTAATTAGTATAAAGTATATGTATATTACTTTGTAAAAATTATTTACTAGTATGGGCGTTCACCTCCCTAAACTTTATATGTCATTTTTCCCTTAAAAAAAACCCAATAGAAACTAAATGTTTTCAGCACCCTTACTAAGCAATCGACCTTTTGGTGAACCACATCCCGTAAATTTTGTAAATGGACACAATATTAACCTGGTCACATTACACAGATGGAAAGGGAAATAAAAATGACGCCTACATTCCCAATCGATCGTGATGTATGTATCGGTCATTAAAATCGAGACCAGTCACCTGCAGGCGGCAGCAAAGAACATTAATGGGGTACAATTTACAAAATCATCTTCCGTACAATTAGCACTTGGGACACGAGTGACAGTAGCTAACTACGGATAAGCATGATCACTAGACATTTTTACGCACCAAAAAATAAAATTAATGCATGTATATAATATATCTCTTTAAAACGTATTCGTTTGATGTCTTTCATGTCTAATTATGTCACCGTATACAAATAATGAATGAATATATTTTAACTGAAGCGCAACATTCATAGAAAGGCATGAAATTTGATTCTACAATGTAGATAGGGTACACTTTTGGAAAAATTTTGTAAACAAAAAAAAGGTAAAAGTCTCTGATCGTTCTGATATTGCAACTAGATTAGCAAATTTACAAAAATATTTTCTACAGGTGTTCAGTAGCCCGCATGTCGCATGCGCTAGAGTCGCCAAGAAAAGAGTTGATGGTTCGAATCCACTGCGGGACATGGAGACGGTCCTTCGGGTGAGACTCTATAAACCGAAGTCTCGGGTTGCAGAAAGTGCTCAGTGATACAAATAATACCTCTCACTGCTCATTGTTTCTAAGTGTTGATTATGAATCTAAAATTTGCATCAGAGTATGTCGGCAGATTTACTCGTGCCGACTGGGCAGTTGTTCTTTAGACATACTGGCTGGCGGTTAGAAATTTTGTCTAGTGTAAAGCGGTGGGAGTTTGAGCTCCCCCTTCTTCATTTAAAAATATATAACATCGCTGTAAAAATTCTACCCCTGGATATAAATTCTTTACGTCTTATATTAGCAAACAATATACAAATGAACTGAATGATCTTAGAATATTGACAGTTCAGCATAATAAGGCTTTCTTTGAATCTCAAACCACTCAGAAGACATCTGAATATATCTTTTTACCTGAGATGATAAATAATCTGAAGTTAACCATAATTAAAGCATTATTTTAAGTTTTTCTTCCGTAATGTGTCTTTGTTTAGAAGGTCGAATTAGTCATATTTCATTTTAGAAAGGACCTTTTCTTCTACAGTTAGAATTTTTAAAAAATCTATTAGAGTACAGTAGTGTAGAGAATTGTAAACGTAAGTAAAGATATGTATAAAAATTAACTTAATTTCATTGCTTATATTTGTTTTCTGTTTATTTTAATTAATTGACTATAAATTCTACGCAATAAAGATTCCGCTGTACGTATGTACATGTAAGATTGAGGTGCCAAAACTGACCTCTTGCAAAAAGGGGAAAAACCTGACCATTCATAGTAAATATTTTCAAAGTCACATGAATAATAAACTTTATTTTATTAATAATCGATCTTTAATGATTTCCAGTCATTGTATTCCACGTTTAATGCGATTCATGCCTTGACTGCACTTGAAATAAAATAACTTGGTCGTTATGCCCTAAACAATCATTCACAGAAATGTTAAGATCTGGAGAAGAATATGATAATAAAGAGGAAATATGCTGACAATTAAAGCTTTAAGGTTATTGGAAGGAAATGGAATTCTGTATGTAAAAATTCCCCCAAAGGGTTACATTTGTACCTACTGCGCTGACGAGACAAATGTTTCACCTACGACCTTGTCTCGGGGGTGATTCTATTGCTTTATAGACATTTGAATATTATCTAAGAGTTTTGTGGTGTGATTAAAGTTTATTTAAGTGCATGTTAGACTGCATTTAGGAGTGTTGTCGAACAATTGCTAGCTTTTGTACAGAGCAAAACCCAGAGAGAGAGAGAGAGAGAGAGAGAGAGGTATGAAAAATCTCTTTACATACCAGGTATATTTACCATAAATTAGTGTATAAAAGAAGTCAAGGCAATACTTAATGAGTAATAAAGATTATTTAGTTTTAAAAACGTAAAGGGAGACGCAATTTGAAAATTAGAATTAGAAAATTTATCTCATTGGACAAAACACATTAGCTCATACACTGATAATTTACTTATAATGATAATAATGCAAATTAAATTACCACCAGTGTCTAGAAGCTAAAAGCAAACAGGAATAATTCTCATTAAGTACATATTAGGACAAAAATATTCAACATCAAAAAGATATGGAAATGACCAAATACAGAAATTAAAATTGGAAAATACAAGTTATATATATTAACGCCACTGACACAAACATTACATAAAGATGTTTTACCTACCTAGGGCCAAAGAAAAATATAGACCGTACAATGAACACTGTGATACACCTTTGTGAATTCAATAAACAGACACTTCAGTATTTATCATTGTCCATGGAAGCATGATTATGTCTATGTCAACATTTGAATAAGGTGAATTTCATTTCAGAAATGATTGGCCCTGGCCCCTCCCTCCAAACATTGACAATTCATGTTAAGTGACCTTTTGACCTTTCCACTTCCTGGTTTGGCGTTTCATCACATTTTAAAACAGGTAAACTATGTACAGTGAGCATTTTGCTAACTTAAAGACTTTTTCTCTTTCCATTTGCAAGACAATACGACTCTATTTCTGGAATAGATAAGGCTTACTAAACGTAATTTCATTCACAAAAAATTGGAAATATATTAAAAAGTATTTGATAAGTTCAAATTGCGTTGACATTCATGGAAAAAGGGCATTAATAAAATGTCCCCTGGCTTCATGCATATAAGTGTGCTTCTTCCCTTTTGATATATACCACGACGGACGGCAAAGATTGTCAGCAATCATTTACAGGAATTAGACGAAAGGTGATATATGTTACGTTTTATATTTTTTGCATGCTTCCTTGTCTCCCAGTTGATAACTTCGTAATAAAAAGAGTCGTTCATAAATTTGCTACCTGTAATGAACGATTTATTTAGAATAAAGAATATTAGTAATTTTTTTTTTTTACATTATTTAATTATTTACCCCAAATCACATTTTATTCGCAAAAACATAATTTTTGTAGAACTACGCGAGATCACTGCATGTTTGTTCGCAGAAGTTTCATTCGAGATCGTGTGTATATTTATTATCAAAGATTATACAATATGTACGTTTAGGCGCTGCGTTAAGAAGACACTGAATTCAAAAAATATTAAGTCCACCTAACCTCAAGCATTAAGAGGTAGGGAAAGAGGGGAGGGGCTTAATTAATGCATTGCAAAGAGGAGCATCCGGACTCATCTATAAATCAAGGCAGTATTCGACATCGATCCCGGTGAAAATTTTATGTCACTTCCGTTTCACACGAGGACAAACTAATATACACACACACACTCTAATACTCAACCTATCAAGCTTTCCTACATGTATACCCCCTCCAACTCCGTTGCAAGGGGATAATAATTATGCTAAGTAAAACTGACAGCTAGTTAGTTTAGTTTAAATGCATTTCTTTTTCAGTAAGACGTAACTTTTAACCTTTCAGCACATAATATATTTAAAACATTAATGATTCATTCACCTGGGAATTACCCTATACACATGCCTCCTAGTTAAGAGACAAAGTTTTATTTTCTAAACTTTTCAAAATTTCAAAGGAGTTTGCAAAATTGGCTCAGTTTTTTTTTATGCGACTGAAGAAAATGGCAATTTTGGAAAGGAATCATTCACACGTGTTTTAATTATTGCACCCCCCCAATCCCATTGCCCTTTAACATTTGTGACATTTTGTTCTTCGGTTTCTTTCTCCTTTGCTCAAAAGCAGCTTTATCAAAAAGCATTAAAATCATTTTTTAAACTTTTCATTTCCCTGAATCCTGAGGTTAAAACCACTATTCATATTTTTGACCATACAATTAAACCTATTTTATTGTATGCACATGAAGTATATTTACAAAAAAAAATAGCATACCCAATTGTACTATTGATAAAATATACACCAACTTATTCTGTGAAAAACTCCACTTGAAATTTTGTAAATCAGTACTAGGTGTGCATAAAACTGCAACTAATTTTGCTGTATTGTCTGATTTAGGTAGACACTTTGACATTGTAAGATCAATGATAAGGTACTGGTATAGGCTTGAAAATCTTTCTTTCCCAATTTTAAAAGATTATTGTGAATCCAAATCATTGTTTGAGAAAAAACTCCCTTCTTGGTACAGCTCCATTAATTTTCTTATTACCAATATCGAGGGTATTTTTTAACTTCAGTCAAAATGCACAAATTCAAACGTGAACTTAAAGATTGTTTATTTAGATATTATATACAAGAGTGGAATTCAATTAAATCACACTCTGATAAAAAGCTGAGATGCTATAGCACTTTTAAACAAAATTTTGGTCAAGAAAAGTATCTTAATTTAATTAAGAATTTTGAGCAGCCAGAGGAGAAGTTTTACTCGTTTTCGCATATCAGCGCACAGACTTAATATTGAAAGGGGTCGATATATAGGCATTCCTAGAGAAGAAAGACACTGCAATAGATGTAATAACAAAACAGTTGATGATGAGAAACATTTTCTCTTTTCATGTAATCACATTAAGGATGAAAGAAAAGTCTTGTATGAATTAAAAAACAATTCCTGTAAGAATTTCCACAACTTGGACAGTGATAATAAGTTAAATTGGCTCATGACTAATGAGGATGTGCAAATACTGAGTCAAGTCAGTAAAATGATTATGAGAGCTGAAGTATGAAAAGTATTAGTAAACCTATGGAATTTTTTTTTTTTTTTTTTTTTTGTAAATTTAATGTGTCCCCCCATTACCTTCTTAAATGTAAAGAATCAGTCAGAATGGGTGTCTTGAATACTTAGAGTACGGGTTTGCCAGTATAATCGACTGTGCAGAGGCATCGTCCCCTGGTACCCTCTGTATCCAAGTTACCTTTTCTTTACATTAATTGTATGCTACCTTCAAGATCACAGATTTACATTTATACATGATAGTACCATTTGTTTATATATATACATATATTTGTGTGTAAATTATTATTTTTGTTTGCATGGATATGTGTAACAATAAGTGTATGTTTATAATATATACTATACATACATATATTTGTATATAAATTATTATTTTTGTATGCATGGATTTGTGTAACAGTAAGTGTATGTTTGTGTATGTGGGTATGCATATGTCAAATATCTTTTGAACTAACTCCAAGAGATTAGTTTGCATTAAATTTATAATTATATGCTAAGTACTTATTAATTGAAATTACTATTTCTGTTAATACTTAAATGATTTTTTTTTTTTGAATGACCATCTTCAATACTTAGGATACAGGTTTGCCAGACTGGCTGTGTAGAGGTATCATCCTCTGGTGCCCTTTGTATTCAAGATGCACTAATATTAGAGTACTATTACTACAAGATTTTTTCTTTTTTTTTTAAATTTACCTTATATCTATCATTTTTATTTAATTGTGTTTTCTTTTATCATTCTATGGTTTCTATGCTTTTGATCCAGTGTGGTGATGCACTTCTCAATGTCAAACTTAATCACTAGTCATGTTACATTATCCTTAATATAGAATTGTAATCAATGTTATCATTTTGTAATAATTGTTCATGCCCCCCGTGGGCCCTTGATTGGTGAATAAACATAATAATATATTTAAACGTCATTTAATATATCCTTGTATATACTTGACATTTTTCAGAACCACTCAATTTGTACACAGATCGAACACAATTAAGATTCGGTTAAGAAAGTTTAAACCCTTTAATTAGACAAACTTCTTAAGCCTAATTTTTATGTAAATTTAATGAGTGTCTAGAGAAAGTTTTGACATCAACACAAGAAAAATATCTTTACCGAGGAATAAATTCCTTTTTAATGAGAATTTTCAATAGCTTTTGACATCCCATATACTACAAAGTTTGAATTTTAAATGAGTTGGCAAGATTTAAGATGTTCAACAAATATGAAAACAGGAACAATTTATCGTAGGAAGATTTCTAGATTGCTGTGGGCTAATGTCGTGATTGTATTGATCAAAAGCGTGAGCTAGACAAACACGTCACGAACAGATGAAATGAAAGTCTAACGAAATCATCTAAAACTTCAAAATATTTTCATTGCCAACGATGTATGAAAAATGATGGTCGTTCCAGAGTCGTTAGATAAAACCTGTATTTAAATCTGTGTTACGTTTTTCTAATAAACCTTAAGATGAAAAATATCTATATGTATATTTCAAGTTATTTTTAAAAGAAGTTTGATTTCAAAACCATTCATCAGTTTCAACCTAAAGTCAGAGTAATTATTTCGAAACACAGAAAATTCTTACCTGAGTAAGTGGACCGTACAGGTAGGCCAGGCGGTCAGTTATACAGACGATCCCTGTGATGTCTGGACAATCACTGAAATACACAGATGAAATGATTTCTTCTAGATTGACAGGTGCGATGATGGATAATGATCAGCCAAGTTTAGCGAAAAATGACGTCTGTCGGGAAACGTTTCAGATGACACGTACAATGACTGGCTTAAGATTTTCCATAAATGTTAGGTTTAAATCAACTAAGCATTATTTGTTTTTACTATTAATGTACTTTTGTAAAATATAAATTACATCAGCTGTATTTGATGGTTTATTTTTGCATCCGGATGACTGTAATTTCACAACCCAAATGTACAGACAGTCTTATTTTGATAAAATTATTCATCCAAAAAATTAAGTAGATATTGATTTCCTGGATAAGTTAATACCGTAAATCTTATTTTGATAAAAGCTACACATCCAAAACAATTAAGAAAATAATGATTTTGTATGAAAAAAAGTGTGCACTTTTAAAAGTAAAAGGAAACATTACAATATGAATTTCAATTGATAAGGCTAAGTATGTCTAACCAATTTTAAGTGTTTGTGTACATGCAGTGAAAAAGCTTTAAAAAAAGTGGAGTTTTCTTCTGGACTGTAAAATATATCTACACATGTACATACTAAAATTTAATAGTTTTAATAGTTGTTTATATATGATTTTTGAAATATTTCATTTACATTTTGAGAGTTATCCCTTGTGGGAGTGTTGACGCTTTAGTGTATTGAAAATATTTTACAAAATGATATATCCTTTTCTTGATAAATAAACAATTTTCTTTGGGTTATCTATTTAAGTTTGTGATGAATGTTTATTTTGGACAGTATACCACAGATTCGGGAATTTAAATTAAGCCGACCAACCGTGTTCGGAGGAGCTGCTCACGACAATCGGGACACTGACGTCATGCATCGTGAAGGAAGTTCAACAGATACTATAGTAACGTTAGTGACATCGAACACTCTGATTATAATCGGTTGTTAAAAAGGGTGCAAAATCATTTTCCTACGCATGTAATATTGTCTAGGGAAATTGAAATACATGTTAACATGTTAAACGAACTTTTTCTTCTTAAATAATGTTACCCCCCCCCCCCCCAACACACACAAAAAAGCTTCACGGTTCATTTAGCTTCATCCACGCACTGTCTCAAATTTTATCGATTTTAATTAAGTTTACATTATATTGTTTACAAGAGAAAACAAACAAACAAAACAAACAAACAAAATCCACACTATCAGTGAAATTGCTCTACACCTGGCGTTCACTTTGAATGCCCATCTGCCTTATAGGCAAATATAAATGTGATATATTTAATTCATTTTATAATGGGGGCAAAATATTAATTCCATCCCTGATCTTGCTTCCTCTCCACAGGGAATCCTGAATCTTCCCTAAGTGAAAAAAAAAGAAAGAATAATAATGGTTTCCAAATGTTAGAAAAACTTTTGTCATGGATTTTTATTTTTTTACTAATAACTCTCAAATTAGACTGTTGTAAAACTAGTACTAAATTGTATCAAAGATCAAACTTTTTTGAGAATGGTTCGCTTTGCAGAATTTTCTTAACGTGATATCCCAAACTTATTATACATACCGGGTATATATACCGGTACATGTACTACACTGTAGCACTCTGAAGATTGATGGCTACATAAGCTCTAGGTATGAGGTAAGGCACAGAACTGTGTTACTTAATATACATATGTGGTATGGTCATCATGAACTGGGATATTGTTTTCAGCATTTTTTGATTTTGTTACAGAACACACAAATAATTTTTAAAAATATTTTTTATTTTGACACATATCATCACATCATATTCAACACATTAAAAACAGTAAAAGTCTACTCCTCAAATAATTAGGTAACAATTACATCAGAATAGCCAATCAGCTTGCAATGCATTTTCTCAAAGTAGTACAAGATATTTAATCCAACTGGTCTTGGTCAAACTTACATAGGATACAGTGACTTGTTTCTTTTAAATACAAAAACAATAAATGAAAAACTTAAATGCCAAATATCATATACATAAAAGGACATTTATAAAAATAACAATGCTGATGTATAAACATGAACAGAAATAAGTTAATGTTTTCCATAGGAATAGGTATCAGCAAAAATTTGTATCGCAACATTATTATGTTTTTTCCCGAAAAATTTTACGATAATATCTTAATTTTTTTTTTACACACACATAATTTTTACAATTTTTTAAATATAAATTTCTGTGAATTTTTCTAACAAATACAATGGTGTAAAAACATAACTTTTTTCATTTTATTAATAGATCAATAAATTTTGCAGTACACTTAGAAATATGAAAAAATTGGAATGCTAGATTATTAAGTATGTTTTATTTCTGACTTCAAATTACAGTCAAACCTTATTATTTTTAACTTCAAAAGGACAAAATTTAAATTAAAAATAGCTGAGAATTTGAGATCATTAAATAATTACATAGAGAACAAGTATTTGAGACTGCCAAATAATTTGGACATATCCCTGGTATTTGATATCAGTGTTCCAGATAACCAAGTTCAACTGTATAGTATTAGTAAGTTCTATGTTGTTGGGTTTTTTTTTTACACCATATATGTCTCCTTTCTAGTCTTAAAGGACATGAACAATACTGTATTGTTCCAAGATAATTTTAAAGCCTTATGTCTAATTGAAATAACTGAGAGTGCCTGTGGTTGATATTTTATGGAAATCAAGCCACAAATAAAACCTACAAAAGCAGTTGCCTGTAATCAATAAAGTTACCGTCAGAATACTAAATAAATTAGTGAACACATTAGAGTAAGGTTTACATCATTTACAGACATTTATGTATTAACCTAACCTTCAAATATATAACCATAACATCAAGATTAAATGATTGAAATATTCAGGATGACTAGAGACTATTCTTCTACCAATGTTAGGGGACATCTCAAAACATTCATAATGTACAATTAAAATGTTTTTTACACATATTAACAATTTTGAAATAGCCCAGTACATGTATCAGCTAAATAATGATTCTAAGGATCAATTACATTGAATCTCTATGCTTGGTGAATCTCTGACTATTATTATATGACAAAAATATTATACTTGTAAATGTATACTTTTTTCTAAGGTCATTCCCCGGAATAGTAAAGTTGTTTAATCTGTCTACAGAAAGTTCTCCATGAATACAAGGCATTTAATTTTAGCATTGACATAATTTGTGAAAATTTTATTTTTTCTGCTTTTATTTATCTAGTAAAATTAATTTTTTTTTTATGTGAAGGAAGAAATCGCAGTAAAAAATGGACATTTTACTTACATTTAATTTGTTTTAAATTATTTACTATATATCATGAAACATCATTAATTAACAAAGACTTATCAATTAGAGCAGAAAGGAATGCATGAATCAGTCAATTTTTATGATTAATTTACCGGGTATTTGTAAGGTGGGTCCATCCTAATACCCGTAGGAAGTTATTTTACTGAATTTATTTATATAAAAAAAAAATTGGAAATCCCAAACTTAGTTAGGTAGATATTAATTGAAAAACTCTGGGTAAAGTAAAAAATTGTTTTCATTTTTTATTTATTGAAACACGATTGATGCATACATGATTTTCCTCCCTGTGGCAGTTATTATTTTCCATGTCTCAAATTTACAGTCTTGGTCCATCAAGTCACAATGGTAATTTTTTTTAGAATAAAAAGTTTGCATCCTGAGTTGTGAGCTTCATTATGCAATATTGATGTAAAAAAACTGTATATCCTAGCTCAAACTTGACATTAATTGATACTTAAATAATGTATATAAATCAAGTTATACATCAAAATGTTATACAAATTTTAGTTAAAAGTAGCTTGCATGTGTCCATTTCTTGTAAAAAAATAAAATTAAAACACTGGATAAAAAACCATTAAGTCATGCATCTATTTTCAAATCTCCATTGAATAAAATCTCAAATACACCCCAAAAATTTACCTTCCTGGTATAAGACTTTGCAGCATTCCAAGTTAAAATTTTGAATTTCTCAATGCCCTTTAAATTATTTTGATTAATTTTTATTTCAAAACCTCATATTTAGGTTTCTCAAAACAAGTAACATGGCACTGATCTTTAAAGACTGAAAAGTACATTCCAAAATATCCTCACTGAAATTTTGAAGAGATTGCACTAATGACCCTAAAGTCCCCTAGCAGGGAGCTGTTGTCATGACTTCCTCTTCACCATGAAGTATATGGCCAACACAACCACCACAACCAAGACAGCACAGATCACCAGGAGGAGCAGACGATTCTGTATAATTCTACAACAAGGAAGTGTTGATAACCATAATTAATATGAACAGTAGTAACTGGGGAGGAGAATGCAATAGCTAATAGCTAGACCAGACCTGGATTCACCCCCCCCCCCCTTTATTAGTTAGGTGCTCGACCAACTAAACTATCTGGTCACCAGTGATCGAATTCATATGACCACTACAGAATTATAAACCCAAAAGAGCAGCTAGTCTTTATTTCCATATTAGAACTAAACACTAAAGCAAAGTGTAAACAGAAGGTCTTTGAAAAGAATATAGCTCAAATTGTAGAGACTAGCAAATTGTCTATAATTAAATTTGTCAGCAACAGCCAATAAATATGTAGTTATGGGTCATTTGAAAAGGACTATTGAGACTCACCTTTTCATCATTCCTGATAAAACACGAGAGCTTTTTCCAAGGTTTGTGTTCATTTCTTCCATCTACAACAGAAAGGACACTTGGCTACAATGTTCAGTTTGTTCATCAGAATAAAATGCATGTTTTAAGTGTGTATAGCTATACATGTAATGTGTTGATATGCATGTTTTAAGTGTGTATAGCTATACATGTAATGTGTTGATAAACAATCTGGAACCTTGTCTGTTACAATGAAACATATTAGAAGCGTTTTCCATGCATCTCTGATTCATGTGGGGGCATAGAAGTACATGTACTTGAAAAGAAAACTGCACCAAAAACCTTAACCTGGAATGCTGACACTGCATGAGGGTATCACTTAAGCTCCCCCAACTTCAATGAGGTGAGCTAAACATTTGAAGGCATGTACCTCTCCTTTTTACCACCTTACCAAGTTCCAAGTTTAATGTCTATGTCAATGAATTCTTGTTTGATGGTCTTGTCATTGTTTTCTTAACTATACCTTGACCAAAGAAATAGGTCAAGGTCATAATTTTTTGCAATGCATCTTATCTTAAGGTAGTCCGATCCTCAGGTTTATAAAATTAGCAGTTAAGTAATAAAAAAATACTCATAAAAGTATCTCTGAATCCACAAAGTTATGTAAATTTATCCACAGTATTTCTTTAAAGTTGAATATTAATGTTAATCACATTACATTGTATACTCTTCAAAAAAAGAAACGCATACTAGGAACAATGCCCTGAAAAATGTACGATAGTTTTGTCATACCTTTTATTTTCGTATGGATACTATGTATTCAAGTGAAATGCATGATTTTTTAATGCAATTGTTAACTTTACAGCCTGCTAAACATAGTTTTGCACAAAATTTTGATAAATTTTCATTTGTTGAATTCGATGCAATTCCTTCGGGTACAAAGGGGCTATCAAAAGCGGGGGTTTATATTTTGAATCTGGTTTTATCTAAAAATGACGCTTACAAAATTGCTGCATCTGAATGTTGCGTAGCACAAAAAGGAAAATGGGCATTTAACGGTTGTCTACAATTGCAAGAGGTTTTAATGTTACACACAGACCATATCTAACCTATAAAACATACACCATTAACATCGAACACCCAATACGCAAAAAATATGATTTTGTGTGACATCAGCAGCACAGCATCACTTCCGAGCATTACGTAAATTGCATGAATGTAATGCAAGGACGTCATCTAAAGCATTAGTTATCACTGAACTGCACAGATCATCTTACAAGACCGTTTTCAGTTGACTGCGAATTATTGCAAGAGGATTATTCATGCCATTGCAATCACCCCAAGCATGATTGATCTCAGATCAATAGAGTGTGACCACAGCATTATGCTGAGCATTTTAGATTAACCTACTAGTCAAGAATGTTTATCTGAAAGCCTCTAATAAATTAAAGAGTGCTAATGCTTTGTAATGAATGTTAGACAGATAACTGCCTCCAGGACGTTAAAAAAGTTGGTGGTGGTAGTGTAATGATATGGAAAACGGTATTATAAGAAAGTAGGATTGATTTGGTTTATTCAATGGACTTTGATGGAAAAATGCAGACTAACCATGTTCTACCTACACATATTTTCAAGTTTGCAGCATCCTAGAGCCGTATTGCAATCTCACAATACACAGCCACATATGGCTCTATACACACTTATTCTTGCAAAGAAACAACAATTTTGCAGTCACAGTCATCTCAATCGAATTTTATCCAAATTATGCAACATTGGACAAAATGGCTTGACATGATTTGCCAAAGACAATCGCATCCTTTTCTGCAACAGCTGACCAAAGTTCTACTTTTGGAGTGGGAGAGTTTCTTATACAGTTTTTATTACACACATTTGCTTCCATTAGATGCCGTTTGTGGCTATCATTTGTGTCTATACAATGTTGATCTTTAATTGTCTTAAACAGACTATAATTTTAAACTTGTTTAGTAATTATGACATTGTGTATTCCTGTTGCTCACCACATTTCTGTTTTATCAATGCATCATTTTACTAAGTAATCTTTATATTCAATGTGTCACTAAAATTCTACTTTGCGTTTCTTTTTTTGAAGAGTATATATAGGGAAAATTGTCAAATCAACAATATTTTTGAAGAAAAATCGAACTGAAATATCAGCAATGCATTTTCTAATTGAAAATTGATCAACAAATATATTTTACATTAAAAAATGATAGGTATCCAGGCATTCAAGAAACTGCCATGATTTTTATACTTATTTGGCATTTTTGTCTTCTATTTCGGTCATGTATTCCATAATACAGTGTAAAAGGCTTTTGCTATCATTACAAGACACCACAAATCACTTCTTATTTCATATCATGTGCTAATAAGCATTGGTATCTAAGGCTGCATGGATTCACCTCTCCTTTTTAAAACTATATCAATTTTTTTTCCTTTTATAGGGTACAAATGTCAACTTTTATAAGACCTTTTCTAAGACTTCCAAAACCCTCGAGTCTTATAAAGATGAATAAAATGAAAATTGTTGCATGAAAAAATTTCATTTGCAAGCTTCATTTTGATGCATTTCAAATTAAATATTAATATTTGGAGTTATCCTTCCTGGCTGAGGATCGGATATCCTTAATGTCCTGTTTCAATTAATGTTCCAAGTTTCAAATCCTGCTGTCAAAGGTTTCTCAGTTATGGTCTAGCTGGACAGTATTTTTATGTTAAAAACTGACCTTGACTTTACAAGTTTCATGTATTTGGACTGGGCCCTAGCTGAAACAAAGTGGGTGAATGTCCTTTTTTTGTTGTTGATGTATCTGGTGTATAGATTGTTGTCATATTTATTAGCCACATTACCCATGTATATGTACTCACTCTATGCCGAGACCTATTTATTGTCTGTCTTTGATTATGAAGATCTTCCATGATTTGGGCACCAATCTGTTCTGTAATGAAAAACAAAATCAAAATATAGAGCACATTTTCATATAGAAAAGATTTTTGAAATTTATTCTCACAAACTTTAGCTAATTAGCAGCTAATCAGGGTTTTCTTGCTCTGAAATGCCTTAAAACCACAATACATGAAATCTGAGTATGCAAAAGCCCAATTAGTTGATGTCAACTTTTAAAGTGACACATTGGTACAAAAGAAATTAATGAATCTGGTATTGTTCAATGACTTTGAAGCAAAATATTGACAAATATATTATTGGTTTATAAACCACATGCATATAAATGTTTTACTTCATGGCATATAAATGTTTTACTTCATGATGAAACTCCATTGGTCTTTGAATTGTGATCTCAGGGCATTCCCAGGTTATGACCTTATTAATAAACTTGATTACGAGTTGGCATTGTGAGCTTATCAAAACGTGGTGACTAAATTGAGCCAGAAAAATTTGCAAGGTTCATGCGTCTTCAACATGGCACCCCTGGTAATGAAAGGAAGCCTTAATTGAAATACTCTGGTTAGTGGTAAAATGATCATGATACTAAAAGTGTAGTTCTTTCCTTTGTCAACATTTTATGATAGAAATACAATATTTCCATTATTGTACATTAGTCAGGTCTTTCAATTCTAAGTGCAAAGCCATGCAAACCTGACTCAAGTTTGGCTTGGAAAAAATCTATCAGAATCTAAAATGCCAAATTACTTTCTTCCACTTCATATTTAATAATGGTTAGTTATTTTGAACACAACAGAAAGATATGAAATTCCCCAAAATAACTTTAACAACTTAATAAAAAAAAATTCTTCAAAATTCGGGCATACTGGGTATATCACATCAAATTAAATGAACAAATATTATGCATCACGTGGAGTAAGAAGTTACAAAAAATTTCTTCTGAAAACAAAAAAAAACATCTTTCATTGGTCCATTCTACACAAATAAAAGAACCCTTCCTGAACACTGATACCATTATTACTAGGGTGTACCAGTACCTCAAAACCCCACACCCACTCACCCTCTTACCTTTAATTCTATGGAGATTGAAGATTGTGATAAAAAATGTTATTACACTGGCATGACGTGAAAGAACTTTCTTTAAAAGATAACTTAAGAAATGCTTCCTGTTGATTTTGAGTCTGCATTGGTGGCCAATATGAATGAATTTGTTGTCATAAAGAAAGAGTACAGAAAATATCCTCAAGCAAATCACAAATACAAAATCATTTTATAATTGATTTCCAACACAATGACATTGACTATAAACTTTAAGTAAAAATAAATTTGTCTTTATATAGGGGATCATTAAGTACAAATTTAATACATGTATGTATAACATGACTGAACTGGTTTTTGACTAAAAAGTCAAACACATCCTCATGTTACATGAAATGAAAATGAACAATAAAAATGACCAAAAATAATGTAAAAAGTATGGTTTTAAAATATTTCCATGCTGCTGAAACTTTCCTTATTTCTAGAATATGGAATATGTGAATTTCCAGTATTTTATCTGCATATTTACATCCTCGCAAGCCAGGGGTCTTGAGTCAACACATTGCCGATTTTACCACTTAGTGCATCGGACCAACCTGCTTTGTCAGACAGACTGGAACTTTTGGGATAGACTGTATAAATATGACCAATCATGGCTTTGTGGCCCTTGAGAAGAAGATTTTAAAAGATTTTCCCTACATGTTTCTATGTTAAACTTTGATTCAAAAATGTGGCCCCACCCTACCACCAGGGGTCATGATTTGAACAACTTAAATCTACACCAACTGAGGATGCTTCCATATAAATGTGACCAATCATGGCTTTATTGTTCTTGAGAAGAAGATTTTAAAAGATTTTTCCTATATATTTCTATGTTAAACTTTGATCTCAAAATGTGGCCCCACCCTACCCCCAGGGGTCATGATTTGAACAAACTTGAACCTACACTTCCTAAGGATGCTTCCATATAAAAATGACCAAATGCACTCATGGCTTTGTTGTTCTTGAGAGGAAGATTTTTTAATCATTTTTCCTTTTTATTCCTATGTAAAACTTTGATCGTCCATTGTGGCCCCACCCTATCCCCAGTGTTCATGATTTGAACAAACTTGAATCTACACTACCTAAGGATGCTTCCTTATAAATATGACCAATCATGGCTTTGTTGATCTTCAGAAGAATATTTTAAAGATTTTTTTATGATTTAAACAAACTTGAATCTACACTTCCTGAGGATGCTTCCACCTTAGTTTCATCTTTTCCTGACCCAGTGTTTCTTGAGAAGATTTTTAAAACATAGCCACCAAATTTTCACTATTTCTGAATTATCTCCCCTTGAAAGAGGACGTGACCCTTCATTGGAACAGACTTGAATTTCCTTTACTCAAGTATGCTTTGTAGCAAGTTTGGTTGAAATTTTCCCAGTAGTTCTGGAGAAAAAGTCGAAAATATGAAAAGTTTACAGACAGATAGATGGATGCCAGACAAAATGTGATCAGAAAAGCTCACTTGAGGTTTCCGCTCAGGTGAGCTAAAAATTACAAATCTTGATGATTGTTTTCTTATCTCTCAACCAATCACATTATTTAAAGCCATTCTATGATAAACTTCTTGTAAGACATGCATTTGAGGCGCCAACTGCATCCTTATCTAACTGTTAATAAAAACTTAACATTTATTGATGCTTCTCAATAAGAGAAGCAAGCCTACAGTCAAACTCCGATTTCAAAGTCATCAAGTCAGTAACCATCAATAACTTTGGTACTATATAAAGCTGAAAACAATCCATAAAAGGAAGAAAGTTATCTTTGTCCATAATTTTTGCATTCTCAATACTGTTCTTCTCCATTTGCTATATATAAGCCTTAGCTTTGTTCAGAGTTCAATCTATTTACCTTCACAAACTTAAACTGAAGGGATGTCTCCTTCATTGTCACTGTGACAAACTTGGAAGCAATAAAGATGAATTCCAATCCACACTTTGCAATAGTTATTTCCCTTTGCGGGGTCAACTCAAAGGTCAAAAGGGAAAGCAATGACATCTTCCTCTTTATGCTACTCAACATTTGGGCATGCTCCAATATATCCGCTATGTTTAAAAAGTTTTCTTTTGGTATATGGGTAGCCCCATATGGGCAATCATTATACTTGATGCACATAATTTTTCCAGTCAGATGTCAAAGTTACAAACCAGAAAACTAAAAAGCCTACTATGAGGATTCTAAGGGTTTTTCCCTGAAGATGGCTGCCAAGGGACATAACTTTTGCAAATGTAGATTCAATTATTGTTGTTACCATGTCAGGAAACAAAAGTTACCAAATATATTCAATATCTATTGAACTTGTCAATGTACAAAGTGAAATATAAACAGATGCACATTCATTTGATAATTTTTTTAGTGGGTACTGGTAATACATGTACGGGTGTACTACATGTATACAATGTACAGTCAAACTACCCGAGATAAAACAAAGTGTGTTGGTGTTTCCAACCACTTTTTCTTTAAGTATTTTGTCCTCATTATCTTCAATATTTGGACATTTCAAAGTTTAATTTTGGTCCCATTGAGTTTGAAATAATTAGGTCTGACTGCACATCTCTATGTAAACCCCCCTCATCAGGGGGGCCTGATTTAAAATCTCTTGAATTAAACTGCTTTTCTTGAGAAAAAAGTTTAAAGAAATGATCTACCCAGGTACTATTATTTCTATGCATTGTATATATCTAGAAACTGTGGCCCAACCTTACCCTAAGGGCACCATCCTACCCCCAAGACTGTGTTTTTTCCTGAAGAGAAGATTTGTGATGCCACCAAATTTTCACTGTTTTGTACGTATCTCAACTGGAAGAATGCATGGCCCATCATATAAACGAATTTAAATCCCTTTACAATATAAAGCTTTGTGGCAAGTTTGGTTGAAATTACCAAGTGGTTCTAGAAAGGAGGTTGAAAATGTACAAACAACGCACAATATATGACACACAACAGACGATGGACGCTGGGCATTTCCTCTCATAATTAATAATTTCCTCTTTATTGCATTTATTGCAGATATTCTTCTCTGAGCTCCAGTTTTGACATACTGAAGGACTACAATTTACCTGTTTCTAGCGTGATTTTGTATCCATGTTCCAGTCGCCTGGAGGCTCTGTCTAATGTCTCAGTATTGTCTAGGAGCCTCTGTCTCTGAAAAAGAAATAAATGAAGAAATCTTACCTACTAAACTACCTACAACTCTAGACTTGTTTCAATCCATTTTTAATGAATAAAACATTTTTAAAACATTGCTGTATAATTTACATAATTGTAGCAGAATTGATCATATAGGAGTGATCTAGAACCCCATCTAATATTCTATTTCAATAAACTGGTAATGGTAAAACAACTGTACCTGATCTTCGGAGTCGTGTGTGTCATCTCCTAGAAGCTCGTCTCTACTGCTGTCTATCCCAAGTTTGGCTCGTTTCTGTTAAATTATCAAATAAGTTTTAATAAAACTGACAGATACAGAGAAAAACATTATTTAAATGTAAATCCTTCACATACCATGTTTTCTTCTATTTTCTTTTACTTGGTACATCCTAGATATTGTCTACTTTTACATAAAAGTTTAAGATTTAAACATCTTTTAGTTTAAAATTTTATGACAATTATGTCAAGTATATACAATATTCTTACAAATTTGTATAATGAAGGGAAAAATTTTCTTTGAAATTTAATTGCAAAACAGGTGTCTTTTCATTAAGAAAAAAAAATGTTTTAAAGAGCTGATTTTAGACGATTAAGCTCAGTTGTCTGATAAACTATATATATGGATAATCCTTTCTAATTAAATATATAATGACAACTTTGAAAATAATCAGGAAAATTGCCACTCATGTATATCTATTAAGTGAGTATATTTATCTTTAATAAAATAGGCTAGTGAAATGATAAAATATAGTATAAAACTGGCATATCAAATTGTCATCTATGCAAAGACAGATAATTCTGTATAACTCTGAGGGTAATTCTTTCAATATCACACAAGAACAAATAAAAAATATTTTCTAAAGAAAGTGGAAATATATGGGGTTAAACCTCTCTTAGACAGCTTAGCTTTGCCTAACCTTTGCCTCATTATCATTAAGGTTGCAGGAACAACTCAGTAAGGGTATATTCCTACTAAATTCAGGAAGATGATCGAGACATAAAAATCAATAGTATAGTAGGAGTTTGCTGTCAGGGTACGTACATTATCTTTCTGTAATTTGGAGAGTTCTGCTTTGTAACTTTTAACTCTAGTGTTGTATTTCTGTCTGTCTTTCAGGGGTAAATCTTTAACTTCAAGTTCCATCTGCTCAAGCTGTAAGATATCACAGACAACAGCTGTAGTATTCAGAAACAGAATTACAATGTACGAAAATTAATGCTGCCAGTTTGACAATTGAAGTCCCACCAATATGTCATTCAGGTGTATTTTAAGCACTTTAGGTTAATGAAATTAAATTATTTGAATGTTATTTTTGTGACTATAAATGAAATATAAATAATATTGAAGGCATCAATTATACACTCACCAATTCTGTTGCCTCATCAAATAACTTCTCTGCTTGTCTGATGTGTACTTGTCTTTCAGCTATTCAAAATAAAAATAATAATTAAAATATTAAATAAATATTTCTGATTATCTATCACACCAGGGATGTAAGTACATGTATATAATTATATACATACATCCCTCCTCACACATGATATACATGTATAATGTCCAAAATATCTGACATATTCCTTTTAATTTTTTTTTTTTTTTTTTTTTTTTTTTTTTTATACAATTTTGATATTAACAATAGTGTTAACTGCTTTGTTTTAAAAATAACAGTTGAATGGAATAATTTGTTGCAATTCATAAGATTTATAGATATTATCAGAGAAACCATAATGATAGATACATGTATATTATATGTCACTGAATGTAGTGATGTACACTTTAGGGAGCCCAGTGAGCGGCGCCGGTCATCACTGCAGGCTCTTAAACCAACACCGATGAGAAAAATCAGACTTTCCACAGTTACTCTATATATAGAGTAACATGCATTGCTTGTTAAAGCTATTTTCTTGCGAGAATAATGGCAAAAGTTCGACAAAAAGTTAACTCGCCTTGATGTAATGGATATTTATTGAAGATAAATAGCAAATAAAACTTATCACCTATTTGAATAGGTGATTTCACTTTTTGACAGTAAATACCAAAACGGCGCCTCATCCAAAAAGTTCTTCATTAACTTTCAGCACTGTTCAGAATTCTTTTGGTAAATGCAATTTATATACAATGTCATGTGACATCAGAGTCCAGATGCACTAAATGTCAAGTGTGCTTTGACGAGCCTGATCTAAATTAAAAGTTCGATCTGCACTCACCCTAATTGTCACACCTTAAACATATTAAAAATTGAAATTGATTTTTAAATTCTAATAACTTACACTTCAACAGTATGATTTATGAAATTTGACATGAGCTGGTGGTCAATTCTTTGTACACTTAAACTATAGATATATTCAAATAGGATATCCATGATAACAGTAAGTTAAATTTTAATATTATATAACAAGATTATTTTTGTAATGTTCATTGGCTGAAGGTATGTCACATGATATTCCTCCTTTTGTGATATCGACGCAAAAGCGCGTTGGCGGTAAATGATATCGCAGTGATTGGGAAGGGCTTGTGCCATGCGCCATAGTCGCATTGAAGTGAAAAATGGCGCATTAAATCAATCAATCATGGCGCCAAGGTGCGCATTCAATTTTTAGCGATGTTATTTGGAAATATTTTGCGTACAACTTTCTTTCTTGTTTTAATTTCATTTTAAATGCAGTCAATTTAAAACAACAAATCTCATTGGTTGAAACAGGCTGTCAAAAAGTACTTCCGGTTAAACGAAGCGATACTTCATTCATTTGTATGGTAGGGCTGTTCCCTTTCCAAAACTGTTGTAATTTTAACACAAAATATGGGGGTCAGTTATATTCTAAGCAAGTTCCTTTAAATTTGCTGCATTTCATGCATTAAAAATCGGATTCGGTTAATTCATTAAAAACATGTTTTCTCTCGTATTTCATATTTGTTTGTCACTTTGTTATTTCTTGAAATGGCCCTTCAGATTATATTGATGGCCCATTCATTTTCGAAATGACAGTTGCGCCATAATCCCATTGACCATTTTGGCCTTCCCAATCACTGGATATCGCACGACACAGCATTCGGTTGCACTGAAGTTACGTAAAACGTGACGTCATAATATAAGAAGCGTGTTTTTAACCACTGTGATGTAATGACAGTCAAGTCTGTTTAGTTAGGACTGTGTCAGTGCATTCACTTTAAGAGATTATATAACATAACTATAATGGACTTCAGTGAACAGTCAATATGTGGTTATAAGGACTCATGACAATTGATATTGACCTCAGACACAGAAAATGATATCACATTCTGTGTCTTCGATAAATATCAATTGCCATGAGTCCTTATAACCATATATCGACCTACACTAAAGTCCATAATTGTATAATATAGGCTAGCCATAAGCCTACTCAGTATTAAAATGTGGTATCTTCATCAGCCTTGCTCGAAGAGTCAATATATTCAATATTTAAAAATAATGCTGCTTCATTATTTTCATTAATTGAATTAATTTTTAGTGTGATTGTAAAACAAGTAAATAACACCCTAATCAGAAAATGAAGTAATATAAAAGAAGCAGAGGAAATTCGAAACATATACAAAATGTTTACCTCCATGTGTATTTGATATTCTTCCTATGTTAAAGGTGATGTCTGCTGTTAAGCTTGAATATTGTTGTTCATATGATTCTATCAGTGTACCCATGGTGAAGAAAGACGTTAAAAAATAACGGAACTGTTGAACTGTCAGAACGACAGAAGAGTTTTCGATCCCGATGTCAAAGATGAGAACTTCCGGTGCAATCTTTTCTTCCGGTAAACAAACAAGGTAGACCGTGTTTTGTGTAACGGTTGATGACAATCTATGCCATCATGTCATAATTAAGAATTAAAACTGATGGATTTCTGTACATTTTAAAGCTTTAATATAGTGTCTTTTCTTCCATTATTCTATTGTTCATAAATCCTAGAATGTTAAGACAAGACGGTGACTTTATTCCCGGAAGGGGGGGTCAGTTTACCGAGTTGTCTACTTGATTTGGCTTTAGGTCTTATTCAGAAATGTCTAAGATAACAAAAGGATATAAGACTTGGTCATATATGAAAATGAAAATGAAAATTTATGCCTTAATGAATTTTAAATTAGGCATAGCTCAACATTGTAATATTTTAGGTAACTTGGGAGATATGAAATTTGACAAGCATCCTTTTGCGTAAAAAAATAAGGAAATTTTGACATATATTTGTAAATAATTTAACAAAATAATAATCCTGAAAGTCTTAATTTATCATAGAATCATAGTACTGACAAATCTATCTTATTGTAGATGGTTCAACGACTTACTTTTCGTCGTAGACTGTCTTACAACACAAGGAGTAACAGCAGGAGGGTGTAAGTTTATAGATAGCTCGTTCTCTAAAACAGTAAATGTCCTACAGAGCATGAGAATGTGTTCCAAAATGCGGGTGGTTTCGTCCCGATTCCTTGTTGGCTCTGAGTGGTTTCGCCCCTTTTACTTGTTCGTGTTGAGTGGATTCGTCCCAATTGGGTTCACTCATAATTAATGTCTGTTTGTCGGGTGATGGTTTGATCAGTAGACTAATGATGAGTAGCTTAATAAAAATTAAAGATGAAAAGGCCGCCCTTGTGGTTTTTACATTTATTTATACAAAAGTTTTATTCGATATACCAAAAATTTTTACAATGGCTACATGTAGCCATTTCCATTGAGAATAAACAGTTAACTGTAAGTAATTTTTTTGTCAAACAAAAAATTTTTAGGAAAATATTTAATTTATTTAATTAGGTAGGCCCTAGCTAATTTTCTATTCAAAAAAATGAATCAATATATGTTGCATTAAATTTCATGATGGATTAATTTTGAATTCATAAAGAATTTCACTCTATAACAGATATTGAATGTTATTTAATTATCTAATTACCACTATGTGTAAATCACAGTCTATGCGAAAGTCACCGGACCGTCGGTTTTTACCAGTAAAATTTAGGTCGGGTCGGTAAAAAATTTCAGTATACAGGACCAAATGTCCGATAAAAAAATAAGGCCAAATAAATCAAAATTAAGAGGTACACATGGTCCAGTTCCCCACAAATATCCTTTATTTGACCAATTTAGCAGTAATACCTGATTAATTTTTATGTATTACAACTCTGTCATGATCGTTTTTATTCTAATTCGAATTTCCTCTGTCAAGGGTTAGAGATCTTTAGATAGCTCATACGTAGATTTGGTTGGGAAAATATTTAGATACCTAATATGTAGATTGGGTTGGGAAATTTTTGCAAATGATCATTGAACTTGAGTAACCATAATGAGTTGTTTCAGGAAAAATAAATATGCATTGATAGTGCAAGAAAAATCTTTGATACAGTGTATGTTGTATAAGTCATATATGAAGAAAAAATGCATGCAATTGTATAAATAGATACCTTTAACAAAGGAAAATTATACTAGTAAATAGTTTACTTGTCCATTTCACTCTGAATTTATTTAAGGTTAGATTTCACAGTGAGAATTAACCCCATCCCACCCACCCTCTCAATCTCAATATCATGATGTATGGATTTAAAGGAAAAAAGTCGGTCTGGTAAGAAATTGCTTGGTCTGGTAAAAATTTTATTTTTACCAGACATTTTGTCCTGAAAAAATTTTTAACTTTCGTGTAGACTGAAATCACTATAAATAGAGAACATATAAATTTATTACCTGTAGTTAAACTGGGTGAAACCACTCAACGCGAACACGTAATCGCGGTGAAACCTCCCGTTTCCGTGTTCCAGGTATTGGCAATGTAGCAGAGTAAACATGGGAGATAACATTTACTCATTGCATATTATGTATATAATTAAAAATCTAGAAACTACCTGAATGTCAATTTGACGTGTAAAATTAATTTGAAGTGAGTAAGAAATATTGAGAAAAAGTGTTGGAATTCTTTCATTGTATGAATTAATTTTTTGTATGAAAGGTGTCCCAATCTAAAATAGTTTCGATACGGTAATGATTAATATGTCAATGCTACTCCATTTATTTTTTCCAAAATCATTTAGAGTTATTTGGCAAGTTTATTTCATATCCATACTTAGGCCATCCTTAAAAAAATGTTTGTTTGGAATTGCCGCCTGAAGGGTTTCAGATACAGCTGGGAGGGAAATTATTTTTTTTTTTAAATTAAAGATAAATTTTAAATTTTTGATAAAAATCTCAGTAAACAGTAAATACATTTTCTGACTTAAGATTTGACACTATATTTCAGTGTTTTGTATGGTGCATGTGATACATGTAAGGGGCAAAAAAAATTGATTACCGTAATTTACGGAATATAGGTCGGTACTTTTTTCTCAGAACCGCTGGGGTCGCCCAATATACAGAATTCGACCTATTTAAGGCTCAAGTTTACGTAAAATGCCCCCTAATCAGTAAAATTTACGTCAGTTTCAAAGCAAATTTGTGCCACTTTCGTAACTTTTTTGATTATTTTTCGCAAAAAAATTAATGCCCCGGTAAACAATCAAATATTTATTCTATAGCTTTCTTACAAAATAAATTCCATTAATTATCCGTTGATGACAAAGGAAAACAACATTGCTTCATCTATTAAGTAATTCCTCAACGTATTGTCCATTAACATCATGCGGTATCCATCTTGTGAAGTTAGGAAGTCGCGATCGTGTACTAAAAGTAAAACCGCAACTGTATCAAAATTTAAAAGACGGAAAATTTTCATGATCACAACTGTAAGATTTTTACCATTTATTAGTAGCGATAAATTGAAATAGTATATTAAATATTTTTTATTGTCTTATGTTTATTTAAATGTAAAATGAGTGAAATAATTTGTTGCCATTCAATTCCTTAATTTAATTACCAAAAAAAAAAAAACCACTAGTCATTACTGTTTTTTTAAAAAAAATTTTAATTAATTATAATACCGGCTTCTAACAAAATTTTAATTGTCTGACAGATAAAGGGATTTACACTGTGTACGCAAAGAAGTTAACACCTGTGTTAGTTTAAATGCCTGCGGGGCATGATTAAGAAACCCACATGCCGTTATAGGGTATTAGTGTTACACATCATTGAACAAACAAAGCCGTGAAATTCATGTTGACAGTCAAATTGTGAATGTACTCTCAATTAAATTTATAAATTAAACTTATAGAGTGTTAATATGATTTCAATTCTTTACTGTTGCTTGATATATACATTCAATGGTCATTTGCGTGTTTTAGCAAATCCTTGGAGAAGAAAAATAAAAATGGCGGACATCAAAGTAATTGTCGTCCACCGGTAAATAATGTCTGATTAAAATTTATTAGGAATGTGTCCAAGTTGTTCTGAAATCGGAATTACCATTCTTTGGTCTCTGGTATTTCCCGAATTATAGCTGTAAAATAATAACATATTTACGTGTTATTTATGCCTCTGATTTAACAACAGTGTTAAACTACGGAGGCATTGAACAGGCAAGTTGGAGAAAAATAAGTAGTAACACAATTCAAAGAAGTTTTAACTACATTTTTTTAAAAACTTTATTTAAATGCTGTACTCATTAAAACACCTGTTTATTTTCTTGATACGTTCATGTCATGGAATAACCCCGGTAATTTTAGGGGTTTACCTGTTCTGATACGTTGTATCTGCGTAAGAATCTTTAGAAAACGGGAAACAAAGCCTCGTCCTATATTGTAAGTTCGTCCTATCTTAGGATTTTTCAAAAGTTAAGGCTGAAAATGAGCCTTTCAACCTATATACCCCATCGACCTATAATCCCGAAATTACGGTAAATAAAAAAAAAAATCTTCCTACTTTTGGTCTATAAATTTTTTTCAGGAGGGGGCATTTCAATGAGGCAGGAGGCAATTCCAAACAAACTATAATTTTATTTTGGCCTTACCTGCATCAACTATTTGCAATGTGCCCGAGCTCGTTTGAACCCCCCCCCCCCCCATTTTCTCCTACATTGTGGATGTCTCCATGGGAGGCATTCTAGCTGTGCTCAGTGTGCTGTGGGCCAGTCTTGAGACACAGTTTGTTCTAACAAGGTGTAAGTATGGGCCTCAGTGGGGGACCCATCTTTACGGGCAATTAAAAAAACGTGTGTCATTTGAATCAGATCATTTTCACATTATATCATACTTTAAAAAATATCGTTAAGATAGTTTGAGATAAGCATATATATATCTAACATGAAATACCTAATTTATGCACAATGAAAAAATAGGCTACACCTTATAAAGTGTGAAGCTAGAGTATTGTTTGATTTCATTCATTGTAAATACAGTGAAGCTTCATTCATTCAGATGCCAATAATTTGGATGCTTAACATTCTTGATGAAATTTGTATGGACAAATATTATTTTTAGATATAACAAGGATATTTTGGTAGGAAACAGGCAGCAGGAAACAAGACAATAATTTTTTTTTTGGCCTTTACTAGTTTTAACCATATATGTAGAGTGATAAATGTGACTTACTTTTGATTTTTTTTTCATGTGCTGTATAACACAGATCAAAGACTCCTGGTAAGTTTTGTGGCAAGCTTTTAAATGTATTGTAATGTAGCACTGATTCTTCAACCTTCTCTGTATAATTTTGAATGAAAGCAAACTTGCGAGCTAGAGTATGATAAGACAAACAAATATGATCCTCTGAAAAATTCTTAGAATATACAGACATTACAGTACAATTCAATTTTAACATACAGTTTAATATCATGAATCTTTTGTTATCATAGATTTTTGAAAACTTCTACAAAATTTTGCTGGTATTTTCAGGTGGTAAATTGGTTTACCTATACACAAAGAAACCTGGCAGTGTTCCAAAATGTGGAGACTGTAAAATTAAACTACATGGGGTATGTATTGTCTGTAGAAATATCACTCAGACACTGACTGCAAATAGCAGGTCTCAGCTTGCATTACATGAACAGTAAAAATGTCCTGAATGTATTACTTTTATGTCATTATTCCTTGTATATAGAAATGTGTATGCCCCTTGCCAAGTTTATGGGATAACTCTTTTTAATTTTTGAGACTTTCTATATAAATTTTGCTTGTATAAATTTGCATACCTCGTATACTGCATATTCTGTTATATCATTGGAGGTCCATGAGTTGTTACGCTAATATGATAATGTCCATTTTTAAGATAAATTTAAGACACTGTTTCATTTCATAATTTGTACTTTAGTTGTAAATAATTTTTCTTTTGATTGAACTGACAGTTTTGAAAAATCATGCATTTATTGATTGTTTACATCTCATTCAAAGAACTGATGTTTAACAGACACCATTTTGAAACACATGTCCTTGGGTCGTGACCTCAGTGGAAATTACATAATAACGGCCAACAAATTACAATTTGGATACATGACTTCTGTTGACATAGTGTAAACAATGCACATGATAGCAACAATTAGGGCTGGGTATTGACCCGAGATTTCGTATTGCGATATATTGCGATATTTTTAACTGTATTGCAATATTTTCAACGTAATAAAAATGGCATTTTCTTACTGTATTTACATTAATTTACATGCAGAATGTTCATAACTTTGATAAGTAACCAACACGGGGAAAAAATCTTGTTGATTTCATTTGAGTTATGCTCTGAAATTTTCCCATAAAACAAATGTTTGGCTTAATAACAAACTTTAATTAGTCCATTTCTATATTTAATGACAAAATTCCTTAATCTAAGAATATTGGCAATATATTGATATTTCAAAATCGTATTGCAATACGATATTTTTTGTCATTGTATTGCAATATATTGAAATATGGATATTATTGCCCAGCCCTAGCAACAATGCAATTGAGATAGGTTGTAAGAAAAAAAACTTTTAAGACTCTCTTTTCAAATGTATACGGGAATAGCAGATTTGTGCTAAAATAGGTGAAATTTCTTTCAGACTACTTTTTTTTTTACCTGTTTTGACCTTATTATCGCCTGCAGTTGTGAAATATGACAAAATTAATCCAAAGAATTTTTTTCTGGCATGGGAGAAAATCTTGCAAGATACCACAGGGAAATAAAAGGGGCACAACTCTAGGTGTATATTATGGAACAAGACATAGTTTTCTGTTGTCAGCCATCAGCTCAAAATACAGTGGACCTTCAGATATCCGGACGCCAGATATCCGGACGCTTCACCTTCCGGACGATTTTTCTCGGGAACGGATTTTTTCAACGTAATTTTGACTCATTTATCCGGAATTCCGCGTTCCGTATCCGGACGGCTCTTTTTTACTACAAAATGTATTTTTACGTTATAATTTGGTTCATTTATCCGGACGGTATTTTTTTAATTTGTACTTCCACTCTAGTCAACATTCACGCCTGAACTGAGTGATAATTGTTATCAAAACACTGGCCGGATTGATTGTTTTTACAAGACGATCACCTGTGACATGTTATGAATGACTTACGATGATTAGTCCACAGATTAAGCATGCTAAGTGGATATGGTCATAATATACGAGAGATCGATACACAAATGAAAATAAACAATTGACTGTGTCGATAACAGAAAACAATTTTCAATTCCGCGAGATATTTACATGTATAATTTAAGTATAGAGCTGGTTCTATTTATAGACTTTCATAATCTCGTTGCCTACACATGTGCACACACAAACCGGTATTGTTTAATTTTCATCTGTAGATTGGTGGCAGTTATCATCGAAAAAAAAAACTAAAACATTCAATCAAATTTGATTAATTTTAGACAGTCAATGATTTCTTTGGGATGTTTACTGCGTGAATTTTTAATATGTCAGATTTAGCGTGGATGAGTGTTCAAATTAAAATTAGACTCGATATTGACAGCTCGCTTGGGTGTAATCAAAGCTGCAAATGAGAGAATTCGCTTGGTTATGTTTATCAGTTTATAGGAAGTAGAAAGTAAAAATAAGCTGGGTAATTAAAAATCTGCCCATATAAGCAGTGTTATATCCAATGTTTGCCATTCTGCTCTCAAACTACAACCATGTCTACATCGCCGACAAAGTGAGCGCGAATCGGCATTTCCGCCAGCTTTAAGAAAAAAGTGCTGATGTATACTAAAGATATAGTCTATAAAATAATAAATTATTATTTCTATATGAATATAGTATTTATCTTCCTTTAGAGTTACAATACAAATACAGTATACCTGGAAGATAAAATCAATAGAATTCAGATATCCGGACGCTTCACTTATCCGGACAATTTGCTTGGGAACCAAAGCGTCCGGATAAATGAGGGTCCACTGTAATGAAGTTTGTCTGAAAAATATAAATGGACAACCAGAGAGCTACAGATTTGCATGTGCATGTTTTGTTTATTAATGCATTAATAAAATTTTTGCACCAACCCATTGGACACAGTTCGGATTTCTATAGCACCAATGTAAAATATATTTTCTCATGTTTAATTCTATTAGAATTGAGCTATGGCTTATTAAAATGAAATGTTTTGTATAAGAAGAACAAGTTAATTTAAGAAACCTAGGTTGAATGATTGAGAGACAGATCATAGAGTACCTGGGTCAGGTGCATTGCTTTCAGATTCAGTTGCCTCATGAGTGTTGATGTATAATTGTAGATCACACCAGCCAGACCTTTGAAGCTGATGTCCATGTCACGACGTATGAAGACAGTGACACGCTGCTATGGAGGGAGCTGCTGTCACAGATGTGTTCGTGAAAGGTACATACAAGACTCACTTAAACAGGGAATTATCATAGAATTCCTGTAGGATCAATTCATGTGTACAACATGGTTACAGTGAATTGCTGAAGCAGATTCTACTTATTAGCAAACTCTGGTTAATTGGGAATTATTGTAGAATTCCTGTAGGATCAATTCACCTGTATCTTTTAACACAGTTACAGTGAATTTCTGAAGCATTATTAGCCTACCAGAGCTTAAGGCACAAGTGAGCTTTTTCTGATTTAGTATTTTTCCTTTGTCTGCCACTGTTGTCATCATGGGAATTTTTTTTTCCAATTTCACTTTCTTCTTTAAAATCACTGCACCAATTTCAAACAAACTTGGCACAGAGTATTCTTGGGAAAACAAGTCCAAAAAGCAGTTTCTGTTAGTGTTTAGAGCTTCCATAAGTTTGTTCAAATGATTGGCTACAACATCTTCAAAGGGGAGATAATTGAGAAAAAGTTAAAATTTGGGAGGGTCATGTAAAAATCTTTGCAATCAAACATCTATGCCTTCAATGGGTCAGTAAAGAGCTTCCTGGCATAGTATAGATTCTTTTTCCTAAACATGATTCATTGGCAAAGGGTGTGGCCACTTTTGGGTCAGCCTTGTTGTATTTCAGCCCTTTTAGTTAACCCCTTTTAGTTAAAGTAATGTAAATTCTGCATGCAAATTGAAGTTAGGCCATACCAATTTCTAATATAGTTCGTCGGATTCGCCGCCTCTATTTTCAACAAATCCAAATTATAATATTACAAAAATAAATCCAAAAATATCCAAATACAATTTTTTTTCTCGATTTTTTACACAAAACGTATAAAAGACTTATAAATTTGTATGACAGAAGCGCGGGAATTAGCGATTGTAGCTGTCTTTGAAGTTTTGCAAGATGCCTGTGTTACTGTTCGTATGTACCAGGGGACAGCAATTAGTATCTCCCGACGCCCAGGGCTACCATTATTTGGGGTCGGGCTAGTTGTTTTCTGCAAGGAGGTAGCCCGTCGGCCTAGTAAAAATTATAACTACACACGCAATACATGACAAGCAGTAAACACAATCGGTATTTTCACTCTTTTTTTTTTTATAGATCACCTGAGCCGAAGGCTCAAGTGAGCTTTTCTGATCACATTTTGTCCGGCGTCCGTCTGTCTGTCTGTCTGTAAACTTTTCACATTTTTGACTTCTTCTCAAGAACCGCTGGGCCAATTTCAACCAAACTTGCCGCAAAGTATCCTTGGGTGAAGGGGATTCAAGTTTGTTCAAATGAAGGGCCACGCCCTCATTCAAGGGGAGATAATTGGGAATTAATGAAAATTTAGTGGCATATTTTAAAAATCTTCTTCTCAAGAACCACTGTGCCGGGAAAGATGAAACTTATGGGGAAACATCCTCAGGTAGTGTAGATTCAAGTTTGTTCAAATCATGACCCCCAGGGGTAGGGCGGGGCCAAAATGGCCGACCAAAATTTTACATAGAAATATATAGGAAAATTCTTTAAAAATCCTCTTCTCAAGAATGACAAAGCCGTAATTCATCTTATTTATATGGGAGCATGCTCAGGTAGTGTAGATTCCAGTTTGTTCAAATCATGACTCCCCAGGGGTAGGGCGGGGCCAAAATGGCCGACCAAAGTTTTACATAGAAATATATAGGAAATATCTTTAAAAATCTTCTTCCCAAGAATGACAAGGCCATAATTCATCATATTTATATGGAAGCATGCTCAGGTAGTGTAGATTCAAGTTTGTTCAAATCATGACCCCCAGGGGTAGGGGGGCCAAAACGGCCGACCAAACTTTTACATAGAAATGTATAGGAAAATTCTTTAAAAAACTTCTTCTCAAGAATGACAAAGCCATAATTCATTAACCCTTTATATGGAAGCATGTTCGGTCTGATAAAATTTGTGTCAAATCATGACCCCCAGGGGATACATCGGTCCAGACACGGCCTGAAAGTCAAACGTTTTTCTTAGAAATAGAAAGTGTTCTTTAAAAATCTTTCACTATGAATTATGGGTAGAATGATGTTAACATCCGTAACAAAATATTTACATGGCGAAAACCATGAAAAAATAAGGAAAATTAGATGATTAGTAAAGAAAACGAAGAAGAAAGCAAAATGGCGGTAAACAACGAAATGTCCGATCTTTTACGATGAAAGATTTAATAAAATCAGGGAATTAGACTTTATAGATGTTTCTAGACAACAAATACATGAATTATTAACAATATATATGAAATTTTGCTCAGGTAGAAAGTTGACTTTGTTCGGAATATCAAGGCTCCTAAACAGAGGATGTTTTCCACGCGCCAAACTTCTTCCGATGTTCTGAAACACCCCGTTTTATTTATTGATAATATATGGACTTGCTTTTTGATAAATTCTGACATATTGCATATCATTTTACTCGGAAATAATTTCTCTTTTAAACGATGGTAAGCAAAATTGATTTTGAAACTTCATAGCAGCAAATTTATTAAATTATTGCATAAGATCCGTTCTAAAATGTAATTATGAATTTTATTAGTGTTTTATTGATAAAAAATTTTGTATATATGTAAAATTTATATCATTTAAAAGAGAAATGCCTCACCTTTCTAATGATGTGTCAATTATTAAAATATTCAAAGAAATAAAGAAGTTATAGTATTTTTTGTGACGGAAGGTGAAATGTTAAGTGATGCCCCAAGTTACTCAGTGTACCAGGGGTTGGTTGATAAAAGTTACTCAGTGTTGAAAGAGTTAAATATATATATGGAAGCATGCTCAGGTAGTGTAGTTTCAAGTTTGTTCAAATCATGACCCCCCGGGTAGGGCAGAGCCAAAATGGCCGACCAAAGTTTTACATAGAAATATATAGGAAAATTCTTTAAAAATCTTCTTCTCAAGAATGACAAAGCCATAATTCATCACATTTATATGGAAGCATGCTCAGGTATTGTAGATTCAAGTTTGTTCAAATCATGACCCCCAGGGCCTGAGGGGTAGGGCGGGGCCAAAATGGCCGACCAAACTTTTACATAGAAATATATAGGAAAATTCTTTAAAAATCTTCTTCTCAAGAATGACAAAGCCATAATTCATCATATTTATATGGAAGCATGTTCAGGTAGTGTAGATTCAAGTTTGTTCAAATCATGACACCCCCCCCCAGGGGAAGGGCAGGGCCAAAATGGCCGACCAAAGTTTTACATAGAAATATATAGGAAAATTCTTTAAAAATCTTCTTCTCAAGAATGACAAAGCCATAATTCATCATATTTATATGGAAGCATGCTCAGGTAGTGTAGATTCAAGTTTGTTCAAATCATGACCCCCAGGGGTAGGGCGGGGCCAAAATGGCCGACCAAAATTTTACATAGAAATATATAGGAAAATTCTTTAAAAATCTTCTTCTCAAGAATGACAAAGCCATAATTCATCATATTTATATGGAAGCATGTTCAGGTAGTGTAGATTCAAGTTTGTTCAAATCATGACCCCCAGGGGTAGAGCGGGGCCAAAACTTTTAAAGCCAAAGTTTTTAAAGATATATATATGAAAATTCTTTTAAAATCATTGGTCATTGGACTACTTTTGGATTTAAACTTTACAATAAAAAGCCATTTTCTACTTTTTCCTACCCTTAGTGCTCAGGTGAGCGATGTGTCCCATGGGCCTCTTGTTTTTTTTTGGTTATAAAATTCCCAACCAGTTAAAATTTTCCAGACAACATGCTCCTACTGTCAATAAATCTTCATAATCTTATCTGTTTTGCAGTTCTTTCTGTCTTATTTACTTCCAAAAACGATCGTTTTTAGCTCACCTGAGCTGAAAGCTGAAATTTTCCAGACAACATGCTCCTACTGTCAATAAATCTTCATAATCTTATCTGTTTTGCAGTTCTTTCTGTCTTATTTACTTCCAAAAACGATCGTTTTTAGCTCACCTGAGCTGAAAGCTCAAGTGAGCTTTTCTGATCACATTTTGTCTTGTCGTCCGTCCGTCCGTCTGTCTGTCTGTCTGTCTGTCAGTCCTTCTGTAAACTTTTCACATTTTCGACTTCTTCTCAAGAACCGCTGGGCCAATTTCAACCAAACTTGCAACAAAGCATCCTTGGGTGAAGGGGATTCAAGTTTGTTCAAATGAAGGGCCACGCCCTCATTCAAGGGGAGATATTTGGGAATTTATGAAAATTTGGTGGTATGTTTTAAAAATCTTCTTCTCAACAACCACTGTGCCAGGAAAGATGAAACTAATGGGGAAACATCCTCAGGTAGTGTAGATTCAAATTTGTTCAAATCATGACCCCCGGGGGTAGGGCAGGGCCAAAATGGCCGACCAAAGTTTTACATAGAAATATATAGGAAAATTCTTAAAAAATCTTCTCAAGAATAGCAAAGCCATAATTGATCATATTTTATATGGAAGCATCCTCAGGTAGTGTAGATTCAAGTTTGTTCAAATCATGACCCCTGGGGGTAGGGCGGGGCCAAAAAGGCCGACCACAATTTTACATAGAATTATATAGGAAAATTCTTTAAAAATCTTCTTCTCAAGAATAGCAAAGGCATTAATGGTCATATTTATATGAAAGCATCCTCAGGTAGTTTAGATTCAAGTTTGTTCAAATCATGACCCCCGGGGGTAGGGCGGGGCCAAAAAGGTCGACCACAGTTTTATATAGAAATATATAGGAAAATTCTTTTATAATCTTCTTCTCAAGAATAGCAAAGGCATTAATGGTCATATTTATAGGAAAGCATCCTCAGGTAGTTTAGATTCAAGTTTGTTCAAATCATGACTCTCGGGGTAGGGCGAGGCCAAAATGGCTGACCAAAGTTTTACATAGAAATATATAGGAAAATTCTTTAAAAATCTTCTTCTCAAAAATAGCAAAGCCATAATTGATCATATTTATTTGGAAGCATCCTCAGGTAGTGTAGATTCAAGTTTGTTCAAATCTTGACCCCCGGGGGTAGGGCGGGGCCACGATGGCAGACCACAGTTTTACATAGAAATGTAGAGGAAAATTCTTTTATAATCTTCTTCTCAAGAATAGCAAAGCCATGATTGTTCATATTTATATGGAAGCATCCTCAGGTAGTGTAGATTCAAATTTGTTCAAATCATGACCCCCGGGGGTAGGGCGGGGCCAAAATGGCCTACCAAAGTTTTACATAAAAATATTCAGGAAAATTCTTTAAAAATATTCTTCTCAAGAATAATAAAGCCATAACTGATCATATTTATATGGAAGCATCCTCAGGTAGTGTAGATTCAAGTTTGTTCAAATCATGACCCCCAGGGGTAGGGTGGGGCCACAAATGGCTGACCACAATTTTACATAGAAATATATGGAAAATTCTTTAAAAATCTTCTTCTCAAAAATAGCAAAGCCATAATTGATCATATTTATATGGAAGCATCCTCAGGTAGTGTAGATTCAAGTTTGTTCAAATCATGACCCCCGGACGATTTTTACATAGAAATATATAGAAATTTTTAAATGTTATTTTGTCTTGTTTAACTGGTGATCATATTTATATGGATATCAGGTAGTGTAGATTCAATATTGTTCAAATTGACTGGGGGTAGGGCGGGGATAAATGAGGGTCCAATTTTACATAGTATATAGGAAGATTCTTTTAAAAATCTTCTTCTCAATAATAGCAAAGCCATAATTGTTCATATTTATATGGAAGTATCCTTAGCTAGTGTAGATTCAAGTTTGTTCAAATCATGACCCCCGGGGGTAGGGCGGAGCCCAAAATGGCCGACTACAGTTTTACATAGAAATATATGGGAAAATTCTTTAAAAATCATCTTCTCAAGAATAGCAAAGCCATGATTGGTCATGGGACTATTTTTGGATTTAAACTTTTCAATAATAAACCAATTGCTACTTTTTCCTTGCCACAGTGCTCAGGTGAGCGATGTGGCCCATGGGCCTCTTGTTCCTAATCCGAATTTCCTCTATTCCTCCATTTATGGTAAATACATGCAGATACTTCATTAAATTATTTACAATCATCCAATCAACTGAAAGATAAGTGTTTTTGTGACTCACATTAAATATATTTCCAGTGTATTTATAATGATTTAAGATGAAAACAAAATGAATTTGATTTCATTCTAAATGAGCTAGTGCAATGATCAGAAAAAGGGAAGATAATTTATTTAAATTGATTTTAATTTTTTTTCATAATAATTTATGCATGATTAATATTGATAGTGAGAACTTTTAATTTTAAAAAGAATAACCTCAGTACCATACCCTGACTTTTTCAGCCATTAATTCCTTCTCAACATTAGCATTTATTTTAATTTTTGCTCCTCTGTTTGGTCTAGTATCTTTTTACATGAGGCTAGTAATTTGAAAGCTGCCACTAGCCTGAGGGAAAGTACTTGATTTTTAGCTCTACTGGTCAGAGACCAGAAGAGCTTATGCGATGGTAATGCGTCCGTCTGTCTGTCTGTCTGTCTGTCTGTCTGTCCGTCTGTCTGTCTGTAAACAATTTTTCAAAATGCTACTCCTCCTACAGTTTTGGTCTGATTTCAATATAACTTGGCACACAAGTAGACTACACTAAGATACATAAAAATTTCGATGAACGGTGTTGCCGTGGTTACTAAAAATAGAAATTTCTGTGAAATTCTTTCAAAATGCTACTCCTCCTACAGTTTTAGTCTGATTTCAATATAACTTGGCACACAAGTAGACTACACTAAGATACATAATTCTGTGTATCGGTTTTTGATTTCGATGACACACAAGTTACTAAAAATAGAAATTTCTGTGAAATTCTTTCAAAATGCTACTCCTCCTACAGTTTTGGTTGATTTCAATATAACTTGGCACACAAGTAGACTACACTAAGATACATAATTCTGTGTATCGGTTTTTGATTTCGAAACGGTGTTGCCGTTGTTACTAAAAATAGAAATTTCTGTGAAATTCTTTCAAAATGCTACTCCTCCTACAGTTTTGGTCTGATTTCAATATAACTTGGCACACAAGTAGACTACACTAAGATACATAATTCTGTGTATCGGTTTTTGATTTCGATGAACAGTGTTGCCGTGGTTACTAAAAATAGAAATTTCTGTGAAATTCTTTCAAAATGCTACTCCTCCTACAGTTTTGGTCTGATTTCAATATAACTTGGCACACAAGTAGACTACACTAAGATACATAATTCTGTGTATCGATTTTTGATTTCGATGAACAGTGTTGCCGTTGTTACTAAAAATAGAAATTTCTGTGAAATTCTTTCAAAATGCTACTCCTCCTACAATTTTGGTCCGATTTCAATATAACTTGGCACACAAGTAGACTACACTAAGATACATAATTCTTTTTATCGGTTTTTGATTTCGATGAACGGTGTTGCCGTGGTTACTAAAAATAGAAATTTCTGTGAAATTCTTTCAAAATGCTACTCCTCCTACAGTTTTGGTCTGATTTCAATATAACTTGGCACACAAGTAGACTACACTAAGATACATAATTCTGTGTATCGGTTTTTGATTTCAATGAATGGTTTTGCTGTGGTTACTAAAAATAGAAATTTCTGTTAAATACTCTCAAAATGCTACTCCAAATAACAGTTTTAGTCTGGTTATAATATAATGTGGCATGCAAGTAGACTACACTAAGAACATAAAGAGACTTAATCAAGGATCATTATTCTATTTATTGCTGTTGAAAAGTTTCAATTTCTAACTGCTTAAGTACTTTCCTCTTCCTTTGCTATAAGTACAAACCAGTAGAGCTTCAGTCTCGACAGAGACTTCTGGTTTTTTTTCAATTGCACACCCCTGTGTACTATAGTTAAAAATATTGGGTACAAAGTAGAGAACATCATTAACATATAAAAAAATACAGTACACACAAGGTTAAGTAAATATTGACGATATTTGTTCAGTTTTAAAATTAAAGAAAATTCAAAGAGCGATGCAATTGTGATTTCAAAACCTGACATGACCTTAACAATTGGCAAAGAATTAAACAGAAAATTTGTAGAAATGAAACTATGTCGAAATTGCAATGTTACGAGAAACAAAAGAAAGACGCGTTTTCGCGTCTTATGAGTGCATTAAAAATGTATTCTTGTCCAGAAAAAATAATAGAAAAAAGAGAAGAACTTAAAAAAATTTTGCCACTAATATTAATTATATTCGCTCGCCCCATAATTTTGAAACCTGAAGTGAAAAATAATATTTGTGAAATATTTTCGCTCGCTCTCCTCACTTTTTATTTTTGAAAATCCGAAGAACTATGTTACAAATTGGTGTGGCCTTAATATAAAAAGAAAATGATATTTTAATTTTTGTTGCAAGTATTGCAGTACATATTGTAATACAAGTAAAAATATCACAATACAAAATCTCTTGCCAATTCCCAATCCTAAGAAATGATGACACCATTGGGTAGGCAGGGGCCACAATGGGGGAACAAATTTTTAAATAAGAATGTATAGGAATAAATCTTCTCAAGAACAGAAAAGCCATGATTAGTCATATTGATGTGACCGCGTGCTGGTCTGTCTTAGACATAATTCGGTGTTGCACGTTCATTTGGGGAATTTAGCTCAAGGGTTTGGGGAATGTTAGGAAACACATAAGTCCAAATTTGTAGGGTAACAATGACAGTTTATTTAAGTAATATTGAATTCCAACAACATAAACACATAAAGATGCAAGTCCAAGTCCTAACTAAAATTTAGATAAAGTTGGCCTAAATAGAAATAAAATCTTAAAGGTTTCTTAGTCTAATTCCTTACATGATTCTTAACACATCAACTCACTAGCTCTGTCATTCTAGATCTCTCTTAACTCTCTGTATTCTCAATTATATATTTTTAACTAATTGTAAGGAATTACTTAATTTGAAAATAGCCATAGGCAGAACTTATCAAATGAGCAATTTTAACAATAGACTACTCAAGTGTCATCCTTTGATGCCAGGAAGTCAAAGAAGATTTATTAAATTAATCTTAACACCTAATCAGTGACCATTGCCATCAGGCAGTTTGAGTGTCAATAATTAACAATTACCAAGAAAGCACTAAATATATGAGGGGATTAAGAATTAGCCAGATGTTTAAGATATTAAGAATGATCAAAGTAAATGAATTTGATGCATGATATGAAGAATTATTAAGTAAAACAATTAAATATTTGTAAAATAGGTATCAGAAAGTTGGTTTACAGTATTTTTTAGATTTTATTTTAAATGCTCTTTACACCCTCCTTCCCAATTGCATAAATTGAATTATAGTTTTTATAAGAATTCAATGTCATGTGTACAGTATCATATTTCTTTTGCAGAATTGTTCGGGCTTTCCTAATTGAAGAACAGAAGATTGTTGTTCGTGTATTGAAAGCCCAAGAGGCCTCCAAAAAATAAAATGTCAAATAGCTAGATGGTTTTGTTTTTGGTCTGTATTATTAATCAGGTGATCTATATAGTTGCATTATTATACCCAACGCAACAAGTTGCGTGAGGTATAATATTTTTGACCCGTCCGTCAGTCAGTCCATCAGCCCTGTTTTTTTGTCAGCGTGTCTCCTCATAAACCGCTGCACAGAATTTCATCAAACTTTGCAGATATTTTGGACACAATGTGTAGATGTGCATATTTTTTACCATTTTTTGGAATATAGAGATCAGTTTGTCAAATCCTTTATTTTTTTTGCAGATATTTTGGACACAATGTGTAGAGGTGCATTTTTCCAACCTTTATTTTTTTGGGGAATTTCCGCACTTTTTAACTTAGATTTTTTGCCATACCTTGAATATAGAGATGAACAGTTTGTCAGCGCAACTCCTCTTAAACCGCTGCACAGAATTTCGTCAAACTTTGCAGATATTTTGGACACAATGTGTAGAGGTGCATATTACCAGGAAATTCCAAATCCTTTATTTTTTCCGGGAATTTCCGCACTTTTTAACTTAGATTTTTTGCCATACCTTGAATATAGGCTATTCCATGAATGTAGAGATGAACAGAGAATGTGTAGATGAAAATATTACCAGGAAATTCTCCTGTTCAACTTAGATTTTGGCGGATATTTTGAATAAAGAGATTAACAGTTTGTCAGCGCAACTCCTCTTAAACCGCTGCACAGAATTTTGTCAAACTTTGCAGATATTTAGGACACAATGTGTAGATGTGCATATTACCAGGAAATTCCAATTCTTTTATTTTTTCTTGGAATTTCAGCACTTAGAGTTTTGGCTGAGCATGGGGTATGTGAGCTTGCTCACCTTTTCTTTCATTATGTAAGTGTGCATTGTGAATCAGTCATAAAGTTTTGGACTCGTCATCCTCTCGAGCCACAGTCTGGAGTTTACATATACAGCTCTCTCCTACCCGTGGCTGCTTGATCACAAAAAGTGTTGTAATCTTGAATCTTCAGTCATTTGTGACGTCATATTAAGTCAATGACAAGTTTTGTTTCCATCACAATTGATATCAATTTACATCAGCAGAAAACAAGAAATATTTCGTACACTGCGATTGGGTATTGAAAGGTCATATCAAAGTTCATTATCCAACTAGGCTTTACTGGCATTGGTCAGTATTTTAATGAGCTACAAAATATTCTCTTCTCATTCAACCATGGCCAGAATGGGAGAGGATCATACCTTTTGGCCGTGGTTTGCTACGATAAGGATGTATTTTCAGAATTTTCTCAAGTATGAACTATTTTTGGCATTCATGTATATACATGTATATAAAGAGCATTTTGGAGTACAGGGGACCAAAAATTGTGAAACTCATGGTCTCTGCGTACCAAGGGCTTGAACATGTATTTTGCAAAATTCTTTAAATTTTTAAAAATATAGGAACATACTGCATCTTGAAAAATCTTTATTATTAAGCTCTGAACATAAAGAAACGAGCTGCATAATTTTGGACCAAAGAGCCCTAAACCAATATGTTGCCAGGCTGAACGTTTCAATTGCCATGATGAGAAGAGTTGGTTAATGCCCAGAAAGCACATTGTTTGCATGTTTATAAGGAGCAATGGGCTCTAGCTCTGCCATAATTGTGAAATAATAGAATTGAAAAATGGACTCATAAGCAAATTCACCTATATGCCACCTGGATTGGGTCAATTTTGGTATACAAATATGTTTGGAAATTAAGCAGAAAAACTGAATGCAAACTAATTTTAGTAGGTAAATGTATATGTACCCCAGTTCATTCTATCGTCAACTTCCCTTTCTTACGCAGCAATTTACCTTCATCACCTGCATACAGAGTTTACATATCTCAGTTGATTAGATACGCAAGAGCATGCTCTACGTATGAACAATTTCTACAACAAGGTAAATTACTGACAAACAAGTTGATGAAACAAGAATTTCAGCAGGCTCGTTTAAAGTCATCATTTTGTAAGTTCTATGGTCGATACATTGATGTGTCGGCAAATACAATTTATCATTAGGTCAAGTGCTGACTGACATTTTTCATACCAATTGTTAGTCCATTATTCATACACTGAATCGACGCCAGATTTTTCCGTTATTTCCCGATTATAACAAGGAGCACACGGCAGGTGTGACTGGACGGCAGGGGATGCTAACTCCTCCATGGCACCTGATCCCACCTTTATGTTTTGGAGGTACGTGTTTGCTCTGCTCCTATTTAGAGTTGCGTGGAGATGAGACCTACGCCAAATACTTAAACCTGCTTCAAATTCATTAACCTAGTCATTCCTTTGCTGAAATTGAAGCATCTTAAACCTTGAATGGTACAATGAAACACAATAGAAGCATCCTCCAAGACTTCCATGCATCTGATTAATGTAGGACATGCAAGTACATGGAAAGAAAACTTAAACCCGGGACGCCGATGCCAATGATATCACATAACCTCCCCCAACTTCATTGAGGTGTGCTGAAAGTGCAGCTGATTAGAGAAAATTTGTGCCATTGATTTTTAATCAATTACAGTCATATTGGTCTTGAAATCAATATTCTGGAGGATATATTAATCTTTTGTTGTTTAAGGTCTTCACTCATATAGTCTGTAAAGAATTGATTATTTCCAAATTCCCTCCCCCTTCAAATATTGTAGCATAAAATATTTAAATGTTACATGTGTGTGGTAATGTTGATCATGATATACAATTCAGTTTGAATCAATATGTTGTGTTCATGCAGTTAATACAGTTTATATTGCTGGTCCAGCAAGATTTCAATATAGGGACATCTCCGACTTAGGCTTGCTTATATATCGGCAAAATCCCAGGTTGACTGAGTAAATTTTTGGTAGATTATTCTCTAGTTAATGTAGAATATAAAGATGCAGATTTTGATCTGAAGGTTATGGGTTTGAAAGCTGCAACTGATCCAAGTCTTTAAAATGTAGGTTGCAACTGTTCCTTCCAATTTATCAAGCGCTCAGCACTCTGAAGTGAAAGTTGCAGGTCTATCACCGAGACCTTAAAATCTAAGGCCTCGGGTCATAGTAGGTGTTGCAACAATAAAGAACCCTCACTGATTAATGGCCCTCAGTGCAGAGTAAAGGTCAAAATTTGAAGCCCATCACTTATATATGGTGAGATTTCTACACAAGTGAAAAATTCTCAAACTGGACATAAAATAACATGCAATCAATCATAACCTAATCCTGGAAGCTTTTCTCGTCACCTATGATCATCACGTCTCAAGTATCATGGTCTTAATTCTAGTTGTAATATTGCATCCTCATGTCTTAATTATATAAAACAAACGTGTACGTCACACTTATAAAATGCTTCATCTCATTACTAAGCAACTGCAGCACATGCAAACCAAATGCAAAGTGGACACCATTTCAATTGTCCATTGTTGTCTACATTTCACTCTATACTTTGCATGATGGTACTATCATAAAAATGATTTTTGAAGGATCTTGACAATTAAAACTTCTTGGTGCACACAATCAATGAAAAAAAAACTTCATAAGTGTAAAATATAATTTTGTTGTCTAATAACTTATTTTATTAACAATGCATTTCCAGGCAATCAGATGTTAACATGAAGAATGAAATATGTGTCACCACACAACAATAATACAAAACTTCTTTCAAGTCACTCTTAGAAATTGAGTCCTCTGACAGTGTACTGTTTGTATTGTTCAACCAGGTAAAAATATATCACTCATTTGAAATTTCACTAAAATTCTCATATCTAAGTTATGATGATTTTCCTACACGCCACTGGATGTACAAAGCTTGGAATTTATCGAATCCTGCTAGTACACCAGCGCCAGCCACACCTCTGAGAATGTTGGCTCCAGCTCCTTTCATCAAGCTCATGAATCCTTCGTTCTTGATGATGACCATTGCGCAATCCAATGATCCCTTGTATTTGACGGCCTCTCCAGATGTCATCATCATACGCCTCCTGATTGTGTCAATGGGATAGGAAACCAGCCCAGCGCTAATAGTGACAACGTATCCAAGAGCGAATGATAGGATGACGCTAGCATTTTCTCCAAGGAGAATTGGTCGTAAAGTGTCATAAAAGCCGAAATAACATCCTCTGTATACAATGATTCCAACGCAAGAGATCACAAAACCTCTGTACAGTCCAACGAGTCCATCAGAGGCGATGGTCTTTCTGTACACATCAACCATTCCGTTGAACTGGCGCTCTCCACCACCTTTCCCAGCTGACTTGGCATCATTAGCAAGACGTGTTCGGCAGTAGTCAAGAGAGTAGACAAAGCAGAGAGAGAGAGCTCCAGCAAGACCTCCGGATCCAATGTTTTTGGCAAATCCTAATGCATAGCTATCTTTTTTGGAGGCTTTGAATAGCTGCTTGATCTTGTCCTTGAATGCAAAGTTCAAAGCCTGAGTTGGGAAGTATCGGATGCAGTTGGCCAAGTTACCCCTCCAGAATGGGAGAATACCTTCGGTTTTGTAGGTACGCAATGTGCAGTCAATGACACCCTTGTATGGCTCACTTAAGCGACCGCTTTTAAGCATTTCATCCTGATTCTGGACCAGCAACTTAATTCTTTCAATTGGGGCAGCCGCGGTCTTGGAGATGACAGCAGCTGCTCCACTGAGGGCAAAATTTTCCGCAAAACTAAGTTTTTTTGATGACATCTGTGAAAAGAAAAAAGAAAACAGATTTTATTTAACTGTGATGAAAAAAATAACCCTAAAGAAGCTCTTGTTCAATGACATAGACTGTTTTAAAGCATTGGTAATCTTACCATCATCAGTAACCAAAGGCAATGTTTGAACACAATTCAAAATGGGCATAAATTTACCCATAATTATAATATATTGTAAAATGTTTTATAGACCAAAGAAAATAAAGTAAATTCTGTCTGTAGCATTATTTTTTTATATTTAAATAAAGATATGAATTACTTTATTAACCTATTTTCACTTTCTAGTTGTAAGACCAAGTTCAAAAGATTTGGCAAATAAATTTCTATTTCATTCAAAGAAAATTTTAAGGCAAAAATATATAAATTACCTACACATTTGTCGTATTATTTTATTGGAATAAAGGACTAGAGTTACTCTTTTAATTTAAACTTTTGAAGCAAAATACTTATTTGAAGGTCACGAGTTCATAGTGTTCTTGAAACGTTTTATGAAGTTTTTTAAACGATCGTAAGTCAAATAATTAGAATATACAGTGGAAGCTTTAACCAAACACTGAAATTCGGCACTTCTGTACAAAATAAAACCAATTAAGAATTTACAGATCACAAATACTGTCAAGTTCAGCCAAACTGCATATCACTCATACAGAAACTGGTTTGGTACAAACGCTTAAATTTAGATAAATTTCAGATGTACGTGGAATAAATTGTGTTAAAATATAAAATAAAGATCAAATACTCATAGACAAATGTTTTTCAATTAAAATGCGTACCTTTTAATTAGTTAAAGCGGTCTACTTCGGAGGAACAGAACGACCCAGCCGGCTCCTTGAGCTTTGATGGTGTACGAAAAGAAAGGGCATGGGAAACCACGTGACGTCAGCTGGATTGCCCGGATATTTCTATAATGCGCATGTTCACCTACCGTTGAGGTGCCCACAGGGATTTAAATCTGCCTATGCTTGTACCCCCTCCCCCTTTTCATAATGTATACGGTTACCGAAATCGATTATATATGAAGTCCCTACGATTAATGATTTTATGTCTATTTTTATATTCTCTTACAGTGTCGAATTTGAGCCAAAAGTTAACATACTAGGAGCAAGTTCATTTTTAAAATAGAACCGAAAAAGAAATAAGGGTTGTAGGTTTTCTGCCAGGATAAAACCTAGCAGATAACTTCTCTTTAGAACTTAGGTAATAGTTTATGTTATTATAAACAGAAGCAAATAAGACTTACCTCTTTGCTTTCTAGAAAACCTGAAGCTTTCTCATTCGAATAACAAGCTTATTTCATGCACAGGAATTTACGTCACACTGGAGTAATACTTCGAACGATTGCACGTGATAATTAATTTAATTTTAGAAATGGATAAGCCTAATTGACATAAGAATAATGGATAGAACATGAATTTTTCTTTCTTCCTTTTTAATTTTTTTTAAGTCTCCCACTAGTAGCCCCTTTAGCAAGTCGTGGCTCGTCGTCTGAAAAAAATGTACTTTTACTTTCGTTTTGTTTTTTGAGTGTGCAACGACCACTTTCTAGTTTCTTACATAAACAAAATCATGAAAATGGAAACTCTTTTGATACGTATCAAGTTTTTAAAATAGCCCTGTAGCATAAGCAGGTAATAGTATATTGTACAGTAGCTGCAGAACTGTAGCTCTCTGCTTGAGAAAATTTGGACAGATAATGCTTTTCTGTCCGAATTTTCTCAAGCAGAGAGCTACAGTTCTACAGCTAATTGTACAGTACATGTAGCTGTCATTATGATATGAGTTTCCAGTCTGTATTTTATAAAATCAGCTTATTTATTTATTTATTTGCTAATTTATAGAAATCCACTCTTATAAAAAATTATGTCCCAATAATTTTTATAATTAATTCATTATCTGAAAAATTTTGAGTGTGAAAATGCTTTACTATAATTTGTGACAGGTGGGGAAGAATGTTGACCAGACTGGGACTCGAACCCTTGTAACACGCGACTTATTTCTATTTAGCTCGCCTGAGACAAAGGTCTGATCAATTTTTTCTCTTGCCTGTCGTTGCCGTCATTGGTGTAAACTTTTTGAAATGTCATCTTCTTCTCAAGAACCACTGGGACAATTTCAACAAAACTTGGCAAAAAAAAAGACGAAACTAATATGCTAAAACACAACAACAAAGCCATGATCCCATGATTTTTAATATTTATATGGATTATGGAAGAGTCTTGAGATAGTGATATTTTAAAGTTTTTCCCCTCCCCTCTAAGCCCAGTAAACCTTTCAATACTTCACTGATTTCTTGCCAATGTGCTCAGGTGAGCTATGTGTCTCATGGATCTCCTAGTTTTAAAAACACAGGAATCTATAATTTTCATTTTTTCTTTAAATGTCATACTTGAAATTTCAAAACAAAAGAGTGGTAGGCATACGTGTATATACATGTATATACTTGAGTAAATATACTCCCAAATCATGCTCTATAATTGGTTAAATAGATATTTTATGTTTATTATTATTTACAATTTATATTTTAGCTATCGAGAGGATCATCATTAAGTGTGAAGTTATGAATTCAAAAAGGAAAAGGAGGATAGAAAGCATTAAAAATGCTGAAGATATATCAAAAAAGTCAGCAAAAACTAGCAAAGTTGAATCCTCAACCTCATGCTCAAAATCAGAGAGAAAGAGACTAATAAAAAGTTTTTATGATCAAGACTGTGAATCTCTTGCTAAAGCATTATTAGGAAAACTTCTGGTAACGCATTGTAAAGACTCAGGGAAGAAACTTAGTGGTGTTATAGTGGAGACAGAGGCATACTTAGGGGGCGAGGACAAGGGGGCCCACTCCTTCAATGGCAAAAAGACGGCCAAAAATGAGGCCATGTTCATGGAGCCCGGGACTTGTTACGTCTACAATATATATGGGATGTATTGCTGTATAAATATTTCTAGTGAAGGTAATCATTTCATATAACAACATAAAAATACATTCAAATATCATGTGACAACTGACAATTATTATAAAGATATCTCAGTCGAAACCAATTTTACAGATTGAAGTTAATAAACACCTTGATTTTGTATTCAGGTGAAGGTGCTGCTGTATTGCTTCGAGCCATTGACCCAGTTGATGGAATAGACCATATGCAGAAAATCAGATCACAAAAGTCCAAAACAATAACAAAAGAAAAGGACCTCTGCAATGGACCATCTAAACTCTGCCAAGCTCTGACAATCAGCAAGGATAGATTCAACAAGACCGACCTGACGGAAGCGGATGAAATTTGGCTGGAGGATGGGGATGTTGTGCCCGAGACACAGATAGTAAAAAGTGCCAGAATCAATATCGATTACGCGGAGGAGTGGGCAAAAAAGCCATTGCGATTTTACGTCCTTGGAAACAAGAGTGTTAGTAAGAGGGACAAAATGGCAGAGGATAAATTAAAAGATTGATGGAACTTATTTCATAGTTACTATAATATGCATATCATAGCGGACTTCACCCACTGGGCTCACATGCACTTCTTGACCTTGGAATGACTTGACTAATGTTGAAAGACTTTAATCTCGATTGAAGAGCTTGATTATGGTGGCATTTATGTTTTACAAACATTTGTTTTCTCTCCATACATGTATGTACACACACATTCTGACACCAAGCCTAAGTGAAATCTGTGATGAAATTATTTTTACACACTTTATCATGTTTTGTACCAAGTTTTAGTTACATATGATACCAACAAAGCAAAACACTTACATATATTTTTAAAGCAATTACAAATGCAGTTTATGTTGACTTGTGCTGTGCCTGTGCATCATAGACTCCTTATTAAATTCATAGATTACATATCTTGTATGTATATGAATATTCATGAGTGTGGCTCTCTCTCTTTTTAGCTCACCTCAACGAAGTTGGGGGGAGCTTATGTGATACCCTCGGCGTCGGCGTCCCAGGTTAAGGTTAAGTTTTTGGAGCAGTTTTCTTTTTAAGTACTTCGATGTCCTATATTGATTAGACATGCATGGAAGATGTTTCTAATGTGTTTCATTGTACCAGTCAAAGTTTCAGATGCTGCAATTTCAGCAAAGGAATGACCAGGTTAATGTTTTTGGTGCAGGTTTACATTTTTGGTGTAGGTCTCATTTCCGAGTAACTATTAGCCCTATGTTGACCAAACTTACATGGATGGTACATCTTTGGATGCATACTACCAGACTTGCTTCGGATGCTGAATCTGACCTACATTTTCCGGTTGATTGAACAGGTTAAAGTTTTTGGTGCAGGTTTCATTTCGAAGATACTATGAGCCCTATAATGACCAAACTTGCATGGATGGTACATCTTAGGATGCATTCTACTAGACTTGCTTCGGATGCTGAATCTGACCTACATTTTCCGGTTGAGTGAACAGGTTAAAGTTTTTGGTGCAGGTTTCATTTCCTAGTTTCTATGAGACATATAATGACCAAACTTACATGGATGGTACATCTTAGGATGCATACTACCAGTCTTGCTTCGGATGCTGAATCTGACCTACATTTTCTGGTTGAGTGAACAGGTTAAAGTTTTTGGTGCAGGTTTCATTTCCAAGTTACTATGAGACATATAATGACCAAACTTGCATGGATGGTACATCTTAGGATGCATATTACAAGACTTGCTTCGGATGCTGAATCTGACCTACATTTTCCGGTTGAGTGAACAGGTTAAAATTTTTGGTGCAGGTTTCATTTCCAAGGTACTATGAACCCTATAATGACTAAACTTGCCTGGATGGTACATCTTAGGATGCATACTACCAGACTTGCTTCGGATGCTGAATCTGACCTACATTTTTTAGATGAGTAAACAGGTTAAAGTTTATGGTGCAGGATTCATTTCCAAGTAACTTTGAGCGCTATAATGACCAAACTTGCATGGATGGTACATCTAAGGGTGCATTCTACTAGGCTGGCTTCAGAAGCTGAATCTGACCTACATTTTCCGGATTAGTGAAAAGGTTATTAGTTTTTTATACAGGTTTCATTTCCAAGTAACTTTGAGCTCTATGTTGAACAAACTTGCATGGATGATACATCTTAGGATGCACACTAATGGACTTGCTTCTGCAGATGCTGAATTCGACATACATTTTCCAGATAATAGACCTTGTAAAAGTTGTGGGTGCAGGTCTATCACCAAGAAACTATAAGGCTTATATAAACCAAAGTTGCACAAATGATGCATCAAGGGATGAAAACTCTCAATCTTGCTTCAGATGCTGGATTTTAATTACATTTTCATGATGAAGAACTAGTTTTAAGTTTTTATATAGGTCTATTCCAAAGTATCAAAATTGCATAAATTTTGCATTTTTGGATGTATACACTTTTTGTTGGTTAATTGTGTGACTTAATTTGCCTTACTTAAAGACAACATTCGTTGAGGTGAGCTCTGTAATCTCTGATTACCTATGCATGTTTATAGGCTTGAAAGCAAATTCTGATACCAGTTATCAATTGAAAATATAGACAAAGTAAGAATGGTTTGTAAAAGCTTTGGATTACTTGATGATTTGATAAGTAATTTTATTTGAATAATTAAAAAGAGGCCCATGGGCCTTATAGGTCACCTGAGCATTATGCAACAACTTTACAACGATTGACTTATTTGGTTCATGTTTTTAAACTAGATGTCATGGCATTCACAATTTTGAAAGAGGAACCATTTCTTATCATAACTATACACTTAGCATGTTTAGTTTGGTTACTTAATACCCATAGACAGAATAGGGGAACAAAAAAATGCATTTTGACCAATCTAAGTAATATTCAGCAATAATCAGTATAGTGCCACTACCACACATGAACCCCTGACCCTTGGTCCACACATTTCACAATTTTGGAAAAGGCACCCTTGCTTATCAAAAATATTTGATTAATACAAAGGAGAAGATTTCAATCAATTAATTCATTTCAGTATATAAGTAGAGCCCCCCCCCCCCCCCCATGGTACCCCTGACCCAGGGGCGTTGAAATTCAAGATTCAGGAAGAATAGCCCTTGCTCATCATAGCTATATGGGTAGTTCATCTGCTTAATACCCGAGAGCAGAGAAGAAGATTTTCAAACAATTTCTGCATTTTCTCTATAACCAAAAGAGCCCCGACCTAACAACAGAACCCCTGACCCTAGGGTCATAAAATTCACATAGGTATTCTTCCACATCATAACTATGTACTTACTTAATCTATTTAATACCCAGGGACAGAGAAGAAGATTATCTAAAATAATCTATTTTCACTATATAATCAATAGCTCGGAGCCCTGCCCTAACACCAGAACCACTGACCCTGGGGCCATAAAAATTCACAATTTTGGAGGAAGCATTCTTGCTGATCATAACTATATACTTAGTTAATTTATTTAATACTCAGGAGCAGAGAAGAAGATTTTCAAAGAATTAATGTATTAATTATATTTCATTATATAATCAATAGAGCCCCACCCTAACACGAGAACCCCTGACCCTAGGGCCATACATCGTCGCAAACCACGGCCAAATGTAAGATCCTCTCCCATTCTGGCCGTGGTTGAATGAGAAGAGAATTTCTCGTAATCAATTAAAATTTTGACCAATGCGAGTAAAGCATAGTCGGATAATGAACTTTGATGTGACCTTTCAATACCCAATCGCAATGTAAGAAATATTTTTTGTATACTGCTGATGTCAATTGTTGATTTCAATTGCGATGGAAACAACACTTGTCATTGACTGAATATGACGTCACAATAGAGAGGCATAAATATTCAAAAGTACGGCAGTTTTTGTGATCAAACAGCCACGGGTAGGAGAGAGCTATATGCGGACTCCGGACCGTGGCTTGAGACGATGAGGGCCATAAAATTCACAATTCTGAAAGAAGCATTCTTGCTCATCATAACTATATACTTAGTTAGTTTGTTGAATACCCAGCAGCAGAGAAGATTTTCAAACAAATTCTGCATTTTCTCTATATAATCAATAGAGCCCCTCCCTAACACTAGAACCCCTGACCCTGGGGCCATGAAATTCACAATTTTGCAAAAGGTATTCTTCCTCATCATAAATATGTACTTGATTAGTTTATTTGATATACAGGAGCAGAGAAGAAGATTTTTAACAAGAGGCC